CTCACAGGCAAGCATACACATAGGCTCAAAATAAAGGGATGGAGGAAGATTTACCAAGCAAATGGAGAGCAAAAAAAAGCAGGAGTTGCAATCCTAGTCTCTGATAAAGTAGACTTTAAACCAATAAACATCAAAAGAGACAAAGAAGGGCACTACGTAATGGTAAAAAAATAAATGCATCAAGAAGAGCTAACAATCCTAAACATAGACACACCCAATATAGGAAAACCCAGACACATAAAGCAAGTTCTTAATGATCTACAAAGAGACTCCGCCTTCCACACAATAATAGGAGACATTAACACTCCACTGTCAATATTAGACAGATCATTAAGACAGAAAATTAACAAAGATATCCAGGACTTGAATTCAGATCTCAACCAAGCAAACCTAATAGACATTTACAGAACTCTCCACACCAAATCCACAGAATGTACACTCTACTCAGCACCACATCACACCTACACTAAAATTGACCACATAATTGGAAGTAAATCACTCCTCAACAAATGCAAAAGAATGGAAATCATTAAAAAACAGTCTTTCAGACAACAGTGCAATCAAATTAGAAGTCAAGATTAAGAAATTAACTCAGAACTGGACAACTCCATGCAAAATGAAGAACTGGCTCTTGAATGTTAACTGGATAAACAATGAAATAAAGGCACAAATAAAGATGTTCTTCAAAACCAATGAGAATGAAGACACAATGTACCAGAATCTCTGGGACACATTTAAAGCAGTGTCTAGAGGACAATCTATAGCAATAAATTCTAACATGAGAAGCAAGGAAAGATCTAAAATCGACACCCTATTGTCAAAATTGAAACAGCTAGAGGAGCAAGATCAAAAAAACTCAAAAGCTAGAAGACAAGAAATAACTAAGCAGAACTGAAGGAGATAGAGACACCAAAAAGCCTTCAAAAATTAATAAATCAAGGAGCTGGATTTTTGAAAAGATTAACAAAACAGACAACTAGCCACGTTAATAAGAAAAGAGAGAATGATAAAAATAGACGCAATAAAAAACAATAAAGGGGATATCACCACTAATTCCCCAGAAATATAAACTACCATCAGAGGTTACTACAAACAACTCTATGCACATAAACCAGTAAACCTGGAAGAAATAGATAAATTCCTGGACATTTGCATCCTCCCAAGCCTAAACCAGGAAGAAGTTGAAACCCTGAATAGACCAATAGCAAGGCTGAAGTTGAGGCAGCAATTAACAGCCTACCATCCAATAAAAGCCCAGGTCCAGATGGGTTCACAGCCAATTCTACCAGATATACAAAGAGGAGCTGGTACCACTCCTTCTGAAACTATTCCAAACAATCCAAAAAAAGGGAATCCTTCCCAAATCATTTTATGAGACCAACATCATCCTGATACCAAAACCCAGCAGAGACACAACAAAAAAAGAAAACTTCAGACCAATATCCATAATGAACATAGATGCAAAAATCTTCAATAAGATGCTGGCAAACTGATTGCGACAGTACAACAAAAAGCTTATCCATCACGATCATGTAGGCTTCATCCCGGGGATGCAAGGCTGGTTCAACATACGCAAGTTTATAAACGTAATTCACCACATAAACAGAAGACAAAAACCACGATTATCTCAATAGATGCAGAGAAGGCCTTTGACAAAATTCAACAGCCTTTATGGCAAAAAACTGCAATAAACTAGGTATTGACGGAACATAACTCAAAATAATAAAAGCTATTTACGACAAACCCACAGCCAATATCATACTGAGTGGACAAAAACTGGAAGCATTCCCTTTGAAATCTGGCACTAGACAAGGATGCCCTCTCTCACCACTCCTATTCAGTATAGTATTGGAAGTTCTAGCCAGAGCAATCAGGCAAGAAAAATAAAGGGTATTCAATTAGAAAAAGAGGAAGTCAAATTGTCTCCATTTGCAGACGACGTGATTGTATATTTAGAAGACCCTATCATCTCAGCCCAAAATCTCTTTAAACTGATAAGCAACTTCAGCAAAGTCTCAGTATACAAAATCAATGTTCAGAAATCATAAGCATTCCTATACACCAATAATAGACTAACAGCCAAATCAAGAATGAACTGCCATTCACAATTGCTACAAAGAGAGTAAAATACCTAGGAATACAACTAACAAATATTCATATGCAGAAGAATGAAACTAGACCTCTATCTCTCAATATATACAAAAATCAAATCAAAATGAATTAAAGATTTGAATCTAAGACCTCTATCTATGAAACTGCTCAAGGAAATATTGGAGCAACTCTCCAGGAACTTGGACTTGGCAAAGATTTCTTAGATAATACTCCACAAGCACAAGCAAACCAAGAAAAGCAGACAAATGGGATCACATCCAGCTAAAAAGCTTCCACACGGCAAAGGAAATCACATCCAGTTAAAAAGCTTCTGCATGGCAACAACATGAAGAGACAACCCAGAGCATGGGAGAAAATATTAGCAAACTACCCATCTGACGAGGGATTAATAACTAGAATATATAAGGAACTAAAAAAACTCTATAGAAAAATCTTGAACAATCTGATGAAAAAGTGGACAAATTATCTTAATAAATATTTCTCAAAAGAAGACATACAAATGGCCAACAGGCACATGCAAAGGTGCTCAACATTGCCGATCATCAGAGAAATGCAAATCAAAACTACAATGATATAACATTACACTCCAGTTAAAATGGATTTTATCCAAAAGACAGGCAATAACAAAAGCTGCTGAGAATGCAGAGAAAAGGGAAAGCTCTTACACTGGTGGTGGGAATGTAAACTAGTACAACCACTGTGGAGAACAGCTTGGAGGTTTCTTGAAAAACAAAAACTAGAGCTACCGTATGATCCAGCAATCCCACTCCTGGTATATATCCAAAAGAAGGGAAATCAGTATATTGAAGAGATAGCTGCACTCCCAAGTTCATTGCAGCACTAGTCACAATCCCCAAGATTTGGAAGCAATGTTAAGTGTCCATCAACAGATGAATAGAAAAGGAAAATGTGGTACACAATGCAGTTATAAAAAAGAATGAGATTCTGTCATTAGCAACAACATGGATGGAACTGAAGGTCATTATGTGAAATAAGCCAGGTGCAGAAAGACAAATTTTTCATGTTCTCACTTACTGGTGATAGCTAAAATTTAGAACAATTGAGCTTATGAAAGTAGAGGGTAAAAGGATGGTTACCAGAGGCTTTAAGGGTAGTGGGTGGATGTGGGGGATGTGGTAATGGTTAATGGGTACAAAAATAGATTAATATTTCAAAAGAATGAAAAATATCTAGTATTTTATAGCATAACAGGATAACTGTAGTCAATACTTTAATTGTACATTTTGAAATAGCCAAAAGTATATAATTGGATTGTTTGAAACACAAAGGATAAATGCTTGAGGTACCGGATACACCATTTGCCCTGATGTGATTATTATGCATTGTAAGCCTACATCAAAATAGCTCATATTCCCCATAAATAAATGTACCTACTATGTACCCATGAAAACTGAAAATAAAACAAAATTTGGAAGGATTTTTGGAATACTCGAAAATAAAAAACTACCACAAAAACTTAATGTTATAAGAATGAAAAGTATACAAAATGAAATGGCAGTTAGCTAGTTGTTTAACACTGTTTTATGTGCCACTAGGTAGACTTCTGTATTAATTTATTTTGTGTTGCTATGAAGGAATACCTGAGGCTGGGTAAATTCATAAAGAAAAAAGAAGCTTTTTGGCTGACAGTGCTGCTGGCTGTACAAGAAGCATGGTGTCAGCATCTACTTCTAGTCAGGGCCTCAGGAGGCTTTTACTCACGGCAAAATGCAAGGGGTAATGTGACATATGGCAAGATAGGGAACATAAGAGAAAGGAGGGGGTGGCAGGCTCTTTTTAAATAATCAGATCTCAGGAAAACTGTCTAGCAAGAAGTCACTCATTACCATCAGGAAGGCACCAACCCATTCATGAGGGATCCACCAAAAACCTCCCACTAGGCGCCACCTCCAACACTGGGGATCATGCAAGCATTCAATCTATACCAACTTCAAACACAGAAGTAACATGAGAAATGATGAAAGTGAGACTTACCTAATACAGTACCTTCAGAGCCATAAATTCTATGCCCAAAATATATTTGAGGAAACTACCACAGGAAAGCTTAATATAAACAAAATACAGCTTTTTAAAAAATTAACTGTCAATTAAGGCTTAAATATTTGTTGATGAAATAAATGAAGAGTGACTACACAGCTCAGGCTGCCCAAGACAGACCTGGTTTGTTCCTGTTAGCATAGTAATAATTATTGAGTGCCTTCAAAAATATGCTGATAGATAATTGCATTAATTGTTCCAATAATTCATCTCTCCAATATCCATGCCCTGTAGTGTCCTCTCAATCAGACTTGCTTTGGTCAATGAGATGCTGGCTAATGTGACACAAGCAGAGTCTTGAAAAGCACTTGTACAACTGAGCTTGCCTGTATGTCTGTACCATGACATGAGAACATACCCAGATGAGCCTGCTGGAGCTTGAGGGACAAGTGGAGCCAAATCAATCTGCTGAAAGACAGTTAAGACTAGTCAACCCAACTGAGTGAGTGACCCAACAGAATGACCCCAGGGAGACCAGAAGAACCAACCAGGAGCATCTAGCCTAAATTACCAAACTGCAAACTTATGAGCTAAGTATTTTGAAAGTTGTTATTATTATTATTTTGAGATGGAGTTTCACTCTGTTGCCAGGCTAGAATGCCGTGGCCCCATCTCATCTCACTGCAACTTCCACCTCCTGGGTTCAAGCGATTCTCCTGCCTCAGCTTTCCGAGTAGCTGGGACTACAAGGGCACAACACCATGCCCAGCTAATTGAAAGGCATTATTATTTTTAACCTGTCTTTACTTTTGGGGTGATTTGTTACTCTGCATTCTTGTGTCAATAATTAACTGATACATACACAATTATGGAGAAGCTATAAACAATACCTTCATTTCCATCAGTTCTGCTGTATTTGGAGGAGTGCTAAGAGCTTTTTCAGCTATCCTCTCAAATTCATCGCATAATCTGAAACACCAAAGGAAACCAATCTTACATATTTACAATTAAATGTAATTCTAAAATATATTACTGTAAGCCGTTTAAATATTGCTTTGCATAAAAAATAAATAACTTACCTATATGATACCTAATAACTAAAAGCAAATTTACATACATTTACTTATTTATTCAGCACACATTTAATAATCTATTACCTTTTCAACTATAATATTAAGTGACAGTAATATATAAATGAATCAGATATCATAATGGCCCTCAAGCAACTCACAATGCAGTAAGGGAGACAGGACTGTGAACAATCATTTCCAACCTGAGCTTTATGGGCTCTGATAGAGATTTAGTTGAGATGGTAAGAAGCAAGTAGTACAAAGGAAAGGAGTGATTAAGGCCTGTGTGCTCAGAAACCTCCAGTAATATGCAAATATTTCCTACTTATTTGGGTTGTTGCCAATATAAATAATGAACTTATTTTGGCATACAGGAAAAAAAAGCAGCAAGAGCTAAGGAAGTTTAAATGAAATTAATAGAACAATTCTCCAATAAGATTGGCTGAAAGATGAAGGAGAAAGGAACAGCATGGAGAAAATAGGTTAAAGTCTGGGGTTGGGAGATGAAAGAGGGCTTCCAACATGTTTGTAAGCTTCAGAGGGAAAATCAACAGGGAAGGGAAGTTCAAAATAAGGAATACAGAAGGTATGACTGAAGAAGCCAGGCTCAGAAGCATTGAAAGCAATGGGGCTGAGCTCCTAGGCAAAGAGAAAAACTGAGTAGTGTGTCAAACCATGCAGGGGCAAGCAGTGGAAGGCATTCATATCTAATGGCTCCTTTAATAGTCCTGATAAGCCCTCTGTCCATCCTAGAGAGTCTGGTGAGAGGCAGGAGGCATAATTAGAAGAAAACGAGAAAAAGTAGAACTGGCACCAGCTCAGAGAGCATTAAGAGGCGAGGGAAGTAGCTATGAAATTAAAATAAATATTTCACCCAGCATGAACAGCAATAACAAGAAGACACTCACTATTCTTCCAGTTCTTTTAGAAGAAAAGGCGCTTTAAGCTGAAAATATGATCTGTTCCTAGACTGAAGTCCTAGTCTGCTTTCACATGGTGCCTTCATCCCCAGCCTTTCCTCTCACCTCTCTTCCCTCACGGTCTGTGAAAGCAATGCAAACCACCCTTCTTGGAATACACCCTTCCATCTTCACACCTCACTGCCCTCTACATAGTATCTTCTCTTCCTGGAATTCTTTTGCCCACACTGTATACCTGACAAACTCCCACTCATCCTTCAAAATAAAATCCACATTTCATTTCCTCTTTTCAGCCTTCCCTGAGCCTCCCCTCTCCCCTAAACTCCATCTTGGAGGAAATTAATCCTGACCTTCTCTTTCTACCTTGTGGCTCATTACAGTACTTACTGCATAGTATTTAATTTACTGGTTTATGTGTCTATTTCTCCACCTACATTGTAACTTCCTTTATCAGTTTTATTCATGTCTAGAGCCTTAGAGCCTAAGTGGTTAGTCTCCTGCATAACACACGGTAGGTAGCTACAACTTCTGTCAGGTTTCTATACAGCTTGAAATATTTTTAATGATCTATTGTTTTCTCTGATACTATAATCATAAAATACATCCTGATTATTTAGGGTCTTTCACCCACATAACTGATGCCAGTCGAGAGGTTCCCAGAGCAACATTACCACCAGCTGTTGGAAGACTATACTTTTCTACTTCTTGTCTTAAAGAAACAGGTATTCTGCTTTATACACTAGTATTCTGTGAGTTTTCTTAACATGGGTCAGTTTTCCTAAAAATCTCTAGGTTAGTCAGCAAATGAATTTCCAAATAAAACAAAAAGTTATCATGGCCTTCAGGAGTAATTATAGGAAGATGAAGTCTCAAATGTGATGGTCCCTTAGGACCCATGACAACTATCTAAATCCACCTTGAAACCCACTTTGCATATTGATTACACAAATGTAAAAATCTGAATTTAGATAATGTCCACTTCACTTGTGCAAAACGAATACAGGGATAACATGAGGAGAAATGCCAGATATAAGTGATGGGGAGGAAGGCAGCAAACCACACTGCCATGTGTGTACCTATGCAATAATCTTACATGTTCTTCACATGTACCCCCAAACCTAAAATGCAATTAAAAAAAACAAATACAAATACATTTTAATACCACCTTAACTCAGACAATTGGGAGGTACATTTGCAGTGAAAAAAATAATCACATCACATCACAAAATGACACTTAAGGCCAAGTAGAAATAAGTTTAGCATAATCATTTCTTTTGAATCATATATGACATTGCTCTAATCCATTACTTTAGTTGAGTGACAGCTGATTCTAATCAACATCCCTCCCAAAAAATAAAAAAATCAGTATCACATAAATACCTTGTGTTTACTTCCTGATGATCTCTGAACATTTTAGCTATAAGTTTCCCACAAATAACATCTGCTCGTTTCACCAAAGCTCTGATTAATTCCTCACAGTGCATTTCAAACATTCCTAAACGAACAGTCTGCAAAAGATTAAATAATCAACATACGAAATAAAACAGATTTTCTCAATTTTGCCATTCTCATTTTTGTGTGTGATGATGTAACAAGATTGAGATTTTTAAAAAACATGTAATTCAGAGTGGGTTTTCTGAATAATCATTTGTATTCTACAACTATCTGCTGGTAAATATCCTTGAAAAGTTTATTATCTTGGAAGCTAATTCTATTTCAGGACAATAATAGCAATAACAATTTTGGTGAACTGAATTACTGTATTGTTAAACAAATAATGTAGGTTTCAAACGTTATAGTTGCTCTGTACAAAAAAATACATGTTCATGGTAGAAAATTTAGAAAACTTAAAAAAGAGACAAAGCAAATTTCAAGAAATTTTAATATGCTACTAAACAGAACCATATTTTGGTGTAATTACCATACTTTCCGCAGGATTTATAAACACTAAGGCAAAAATCAAACAGATTCTTGGAATTGTAGGGATGGGGCAAATTACATAAAATACTTAAACGTTAGAGTTGGGGTGGTAAAGTCTCAGCTACATGAGCTCAAGAAGTGTGTTTTACCCAGCTTCTTATACCCAGGGCTTACCACAATGCTGGGGACATATCAGAAGCTCAATGAATATTTTTCCTCTTGATTGTAATGTTCTAATTCTTTTGCTGTGTTCTAAAAATACATCCTACTAGAACTGGGGAAAAGGTATCAGATAGAGATAACAGTTGTGCGAAACTGGAGTCATTTACCTTAATGGATGTGTATTGTATTTCCTCTATTAGTTTTTGGTATTTGCGAATTTCATCTATTATTTGTTGATAGTTATGATTTCCTGAGAGAAAATTATCAACATCTTGCTCAGCTTTTCTGGTAATTAAAAAGTCATACTTGTCATAGAGTCTGAGGTGCTCAGTAGGTGCCACACTCTCTTTCATAATCACTTCCTTAATCTTTTCTTTGTGAGCATCTATAATTTCACTCAGAATTATGGGCTTCAAGGTTGTTGGTTTAGACTTACTTTCCTAAACAAGAGGGTAAAAATAATACTATTTAAAATACTTTAAAGTAACTATATCATTTATCTTTGTGCAAATGCCAACCTTATAATATTTCCTTTTATTCACAAGGTTGTTTTAACTGTTTAATCTCTAAGCTATAGAAAGATATGCAGACTAATCACAGCAGTGTTTTAAAATTTAGGTTTCATATAATTTTTTGTTTTCTTTAATGCTACCTAGTTGTATTTTGTTTTTCTATATGGATGAAAGAACAGTCACTTGAAAATGTATACAAAACAAGATTTAGAAAAACAGCAAAATATACATTTTTAAGTTTTTTGACATAATTATACACATTTATGGAATACGATGTGATGCCTTGACATATGTATACATTGTGCATTGATCAAATCAAGGTAATTAGTAAATCCACCACCTCAAACATTTCTTTGTAGTAAAAATATTCAAAACCCTAAGAGCTCTTTTGAGATATATAATGCATTATTGTTAACTATAGTCATCCTAATGAGCAATACAACACCAGAACTTAATCCTCCCATCTAACTGTAACTTTGTACCCAATTATCAACCTGTCTCCATCTCTCCCATTCCCTGCTACCCTTCCTAGCCTCTCGTAACCACTATTCTGTTTATTTCTCTGAGATCAACTTTTTCAGATTCAACATATAAGTTACATCATTCAGTATTTTTCTGTGTGGCTTATTTCACTTAACATAATGCCCTCCAGGGTCGTCCATATCACTATAAATGACAGGACTTTCTTTTTATAGCTGAACTGTAGTCCACAGTGTGTGTTTGTGTATCACATTTTATCCATTCATCCACTGATGGACACTTAAGTTGATTCCATACCTTGGTTATCCTGAATAGTGCTGTAAGAAACATGGGAGTGCAGATACCTCTTCAACATACTGATTTCCTTTCCTTTAGCACATATACCCAACAGTGGGCTTGCTGGATCAAATGGTAGTACGACCTGCAATTTTTTGAGGAATCTCCTGTTTTCTATGTTGGCTGCACTAATTTACATTCCCACCAACAGTGTGTAGGAGTTTCCTTTTCTCTACATCCTTGTCAACACATTATCCTTTGTCTTTCCAATAATAGCTATGCTAACTAGAGTGAGGTGATATCTCATTGCGGTTTCTATTTGCATTTATCTGATAATTAAGAGATACAGAACATTTTTAAATATATCTGTTGGACATCTATTTATATATCTTCTCGTGAGAAATGTCTTTTTAGGTTTTCCATCAATAAATAGGATTATCCATGGTTTTGCTATTGAGTTCCTTTTATATTCTAAATATTAACCTCTTATCAGACATTGGCATAGTCTGAATATATGTCTCCACCAAATCTCATGCTGAATTGTAATCCCCAGTGTTGGAGGTGGGGCCTGGTGGGAGGTGTCTGGGTCATGGGAGTGGATTCCTCATAGCTTGGTGCTGCCCTTGCCATAGCAAACAAGTTCTCATGAGATCTTGGTCATTTAAAAGCGTGTGGTAACTCCCCACCCCACTCACTCTTGCTCCTGCTCCTGCCATCTTTTCTCTCTTCACATTTCAACATGATTGTAAGCTCCCTGAGGCCTCCCCAGAAACAGATGTGAGCACTATGCTTCCTGTACAGCCTGCAGCATAAGCCAGTTAAACCTCTTTTCTTATAAATTACCCAGTCTCAGGTGTTTTCTTCATAGCAATGTAAGAATGGCCTACCACAGATGTGCAGTTTGCAAATTTTTTATCCCATTCTGTGGGTTATCTCTTCATTCATTGCTTCCTTTGTGCAGAAGTTTTTTAGTTTGATGTAATCCCATTTGTCAGTTTTTATTTTTGCTGCGTTTTTGAGGTCTTAACCAAAAAAAATTCTTGTTCAGATCAATGTTATAAAGCATTTCCTCTATATTTTCTTCTAGTAGTTTCATAGTTTTGGGTGTTACATTTAGGTCTTTAATCCACTTTGAATTGATTTTTATATGTGGTGAGAGAGAGCGGTCTAGTTTGATTTTTCTGTATATGGATTTCCAATTTTTTCCCAGCACCATTTATTGAGGAGACTATCCCTTTCCCAATGTGTGCTCTTGGTACCTTTGTCAAAAATCAGTTACTTGTTGGGCATGGTGGCTCATACCTGTAATCCCAGCACTTTGGGAGCCCCAAGGCAGGCAGATCGCTTGAGCCCAGGAGTTCAAGATCAGCCTGGGCAATATGGCAAAACCCCATCTCTACGAAAAATACAGAAAATTGGTGGTAGTGCACATCAGTAGTCCCAGCTACTCCGAGGGCACTGAGGTGACCGAATCACCTTACCCCAGGAGGTCAAGGCTGCAGTGAGCCATGATCGTGCCACTGCACTACAACCTAGGCAGCTGAGTAAGACCTGTCTCAAAAAAAAAAATCAGTTATTGTAGAAGTATGTTATTTCTAGGTTATCTATGTCATTCCATTGCTTTGGGTTACTATAGCTCTATAGCATATATATTCACAGCTAGGGAACAGGTCACTCTGTAACAACCAGATTTACAAAATTCATTATAAAAGCTTTTTTTTTTTCTTTTTATATTACATTCTTTTCTTTTTTAAACTAGCATACAAAACAAAGTAAATTGACTAGTAGTTTGCCTACTCCCAATTTTTGGAGAAATATTTCCTGTCTACAAAATCATGTACTCTGTAGGAAAAAAAAAACCCACACGCTGACAGTTGCCACAACTTTCTCTGCAAGCAATCTTCCTTCAAATCCCTCCTTCTCATACACATGAGTTGTCATGCACACAGTGAATTCTTATTTTCCTGAAAGCTTAAGCTTTAAATACTGCAATTCTATTTACAGATCTATACATAAACAAAAGCGAGAATAAGAATCATCACCACCACAACAAAACCAAAATAGCACTTTTAAAAAATTACAAACCAGCTAGAAATTATTCGGGCAGTTTACAAATTAGTTTCTACTTGTGTACAAAATTGCTAAATAACAAAAATGTGAGCAAACTATGTAAAAACTTCAATAAGACAATTGCTATGCACAACCCTGTATATATAAACACACACATAACACTGCCATGCTAATGTGTTGCCCTTTATACATTTTCTTTTTTTTTTTCCCATTTATTTTATTGCATTTTAGGTTTTGGGGTACATGTGAAGAACATGCAAGATTGTTGCATAGGTACACACGTGGCAGTGTGATTTGCTGCCTTCCTCCCCATCACCTACATCTGGCATCTCTCCCCTTGCTATCTCTCCCCAGCTCCCCACCCCGCGCCGTCCCTCCCCTATTTCTCCCCAACTGACCCCAGTGTGTAGTGCTCCCCTCCCTGTGTCCATGTGTTCTCATTGTTCAACACCCGCCTATGAGTGAGAACATGCGGCGTTTGATCTTCTGCTCTTCTGTCAGTTTGCTGAGAATGATGGTTTCCAGGTTCATCCATGTCCCTACAAAGGACCCAAACTCATCGTTTTTGATGGCTGCATAATATTCCATGGTGTATATGTGCCACATTTTCCCTGTCCAGTCTATTGTCGATGGGCATTTGGGTTGGTTCCAGGACTTTGCTATTGTAAACAGTGCTGCAATGAACATTCGTGTACACGTGTCCTTATAGTAGAACGATTTGTAATCATTTGGATATATACCCAGTAATGGGATTGCTGGGTCAAATGGAATTTCTATTTCTAGGTCCTTGAGGAATCGCCACACTGTCTTTCACAATGGTTGAATTAATTTACACTCCCACCAACAGTGCAAAAGTGTTCCTATTTCTCCACATCCTCTCCAGCATCTGTTGTCTCCAGATTTTTTAATGATCGCCATTCTAACTGGCGTGAGATGGTATCTCAGTGTAGTTTTGATTTGCATTTCTCTGATGACCAGTGATGATGAGCAATTTTTCATATGTTTGTTGGCCTCACATATACATTTTATTTTCTAAGGCTCATGCAGTCATAATTTGCAGACTTGTAACTTTCAGCCATATAATATGTGAGCTTTAACAGCAGCAACCAATGGTACCAGGAAACCTGCATACTTAGAACTCAAAGTAAGGCAAAAACTGTAGTACTTACCAACTAACTCACTTTGTGTGCTCAGTTACTAAGTCAAAAAGAAAATGACTAATGGAAGAACACAGTATGGATATCTAATTAATGTACACCAGTTAAGCCCAGTAACGGGAAAAATCTTATGCATGAAGAAACTTTTAAGACTTACTAAGATTCATTTAGTTTTTAAAACAATAAATATGGCATTACCTTACAAAAAGTTTCAACAAAACACACAATAATGTAAACCAGGTGAGCTCAGTCTTCAGACTTTGAAAAAAAAATCAGCTTTGTGCAGCTAGCAAAGATAATTACACCCAACTAGTGGTACAGGCAGCTAACCAGATGAGACAGACATGGAAAATGGGGAAAAGCTTGGCATAAATGATTTCCCATACGGGGGAAAAAAAACCAGAGCATTTCCAGTAGACACTTAACACAAAACTTCCTCTCTCTCCTCCACTCCAATGCTTCATCTCGGACCACATCGATATTTTGTACCACGTCCAGTGTGTGTGAGGGGAGAAGACCACAGATTGAGGCTGAAGAAAAAGGCAGATAGTCTTCACCATTGTTTTTTTCCCAAACATACACCCATGCATACCCACACAGAGTTTAAAGTGCTAGTGTCATCTGTCTTGATCCCACCAACACTTTGCATATTGTAGAAATCTACCTGGAGTAAACTAGCTGTGGCTTTTGTGGTTGTTTTGTTTTTATTTCCTAAGGGATATTTCCAATTTCAATTAAACATGTATGAGTCAAGTGCCTACTGTGTGCCTGCCACTGGGTCGGGCATATAGCAGTTCAATTTAACTATTCATTTTGAGGTTCATTCTTTATCTCACTCCCTCATTCCCACAGTCCTTAGCATCCAAAAAAGGGACTGAAGATACCACACCATATTCCCAGTGGCAGATGGCCATTGCATCCTGCCAGTGGGAAGGCTATTCTTCGACATAACTGGTAGGATTTGCAGCTGACACAAACCCTCCAACTTGGGACAGCATTCCTGAAGAGTAAAGGGGGAGATGCCCTGGCATTCTTTTGCTCCATTTTCCATGTCCTGACTTTCCTTGATCCAACTCATTCCTTCATAGAGGAAGGGGAACAGGGTCTAGCCAGAATGATTCCAGCCCCTGACACAGTGGGAGTCCCTTGTTCTTGCCAGCTTAAGAAAATGCCACTCATACAATGGAAATGTCTTTTTTTTAGAGGCCTCTCTACCTGACCCCATCCTGAGATATGGTCTCCCTGAGTGCAGTATAAGAGTCCTTTCCCCACTCACAGGGCCTGGGAAGTCCAAGGCTTAAGGGATCCATGCCTGCTGCTCCTTGGGACTGTTACATCAACTGACCTGGTTCTCCTTTCCAATGGGTCATTCATGTCAGCCAGCCCCAGGACTGACTTGCTCCAAGCTGGGAGTGGAAGCAATATGGTATGCTTCTTGCAGAGTCTGACAAATCTTAGATCACACAGGTTTCGATGCTCTAATCAGTAGAGGTTCTGTCCCTCTGATTATGTAGTGTGAATTTGTAAAATGTGCTCCAAAGTAAGCAATTAAATTTAAATGGTGATGATTTCCACAGGAATATATAAATGGCAGCTAAAAAAATTAAAAGTCTAAAACAATCTACAAAGAACTAAGTAGGCATTTGCTACAAATCAACTGGAAACTCACAAATACACTGGGTATAGGGGGAGTGGGCATAGTTAATGGAAACAGAAAAATCCACAACAGCTTAGAGTGGCAGAACTCTACTGGTCTTCTGTAACTGCAACAAGTATATTTGAAAACAGGTTCTTCACCCTAAAGGCTATGGAGGTTTTCAGGATTTTGAGGAGTTTTGTGTCTTCTTCTACTGGGGGACACAGTCCATAGCTCAAATCAAACTGTGATAGTAATTTAAATATTCCTAAGAAGAGCTGAAGTCCATTTCATACTTTTGCATGACTTCAAGTTTGCATTTGCTGCAGTTCCATTCCATATTAGCATACCCCAAAGGCATACATTCTGTGGAAAAGTCACAGCTTGAAATGCTATTAAGGAAGATCGTTGCTTACCAGTGGGCCAGGTGGCCAGATCCCATTCTACAGCCCATCTGCCAGGCACAGCGAGCCAATCCAAGAAGGAAGGGAGGAAGAAAAAGAGCGAGAAACATCTGATTGCACATTTTCTCACTTGCTGACTTATCCAGAATATTTTGGAGCATGGAGCAAAGCAGAGTCTTCCCAAGTGAGCCCGTAACTGTGCATTTTAGACAAGTTGTTTATTTTTTTAATTCATTAAAATGTCAGCTGTCTTCTGAAGTCTGTAGTTTACTTCAAGGTAATTTCTTGGAGGAAGAAAATGTAGGAACAGACTGCATTGCATGACAGACATTCTGGTCCCATCATAAAAAAAAAATTGATTTGTAAGGAGAATTCACATGAAGCATAATCAACTATACTTGAAGTCTCCACCAGTGAAAACTTTTCTAAATCATCAGCATCAAAGAGATCACTGATGCCTTCCTTCTCCCCCGGGCTCAGGAGACAGTCCTCTTGCAGCAGGGGAAAGCACTGAGTTCACAATCAGTCCTTCCAGGTTAGAAGGAATTTGGTCCTCAGTCTGCTATAAGAGGTTAGCTGGAGAGGCCAAGGGAGAAAGGTTTGCTATAGAAATTGACCAATTGCTTTGTCCTGAGTTGGTTGAATCCAAGTCTTCTGAATTGGGTTTAGGGATATTCCCACTGTGATCTTAGTTGGTTGTTTTCACTGGATTGTGTGTTTCCATCTCTTCTGGACAGAAGTAAATCTCAACTGGTCCTTGGGTACTTGCCAAATGTATCTGTAGGCTCTCTGTTGAGTCAGGCACTTCAAAAGACTTGTTTCTGGAGGGGCTCTCACAACTTATAACATTTTGGTCTTTAAGCCACTAGGTTTTCAAGTATCTTTATACATAACATAAGCTAACCTTTAAATCTCTGAATCCGTGGTTATAGTTTGAGGTCCAGGGTGCACTTTGGATCAGTTCATCTCATTCCTTCTCTTCCTGACTGAGCTTAGAGTTAGAAACTCAATGAAAAGGATAATATCCTTAAAATGGATAATTTCACATAATATTAAGTGAAATAAGCAAATTACCGATTTATAAGATGCTTCCACTTATACAAAGACATGGAAAAACTAAACCTAAATTGTTTAGTAATAAACAAGGAGTAAGTCTATTTTTCAAAATTAAGAAAACCCCAAACTTTAGGATAGTGATTCTTTCGCTGAAAGGTGGAAAGATAAAGAGATAAACAAGAAGGAGCAAAGGGGAAGGGCTTAAAGATACCAGAAATATTCTATCCCTCAAAATGGGCTGTGCCTATATAGGTATTGACTTTATTACTAATGAAGCCTTTACACACTAGTTTCCTACACTCTTATGTATACAGAAAATATGTATAAACTATTTTAAACACAGAAAAATTAGAAGAAAGCTACTGATTAGACTTACAAAACTAGAAAACATTACAAGTTTAAGAATTTTCAGACATTCTCATTTCAAATACTAGATTGCAGTAACTACTGTGGAAATGTTGTAGATTAGATATATGAGTTGAAAATACAAAGGAGCTCACTATTACAGAAAAAGTTATATGAGGAGGTAATATTCGAGGATAGTTTTATAGAGTTGGAAAAGCATAAGGAGGCCTGCAGCATGGCATGAGTTTACAGGAAATGCTATAAGAGCTACAATAGACACTTATTGGCTGCTTCAAACCTGATCACAACTTTAATCCCTTCTCCCCATAAAGTTTTCAGCTAAGTCCAAAGAAGACTAGACTAGGAATGTAGGTTTATTTTAAGAGAAGTCATTTGGGAAATGGTAGTTTTTTAGCAAAACTTTCTTATAAGCCAATATTGCAAGGCTATTTATATTCTATGAAGCAGAGGACGCCTGTCTACACCTTTCAGAAGTTACTTGAAGTGAATATCATCATGCAAATTCAAGCGAACTTAATATCCTTGTTACTTACCCACTTGGAATATAATTTTGTCTCAACTCTTGGCACACAACCGATAGCTTTAAGCATGACATCATAAACATTTACAAAGATATCTACATAGTCACTAAACTCAGGTTCAAATTTAATGGTGTCCTTATCAAGAACCAGCCTCATGATGAAACCTGGATGTTCAAAAGCTCTAACAGAATCCTGCAAAAAAAATTTAAAGATTTTATATAAATATATACATACATAGGAATTGCGATCGACTAACTAGTACACCAGTCCCAATTAGAATACATGGGAACCCACACTTCTTCTTATGACCCAGATAGTTAAGACAAGGAAGAACTCTAATAAAAACAGCAAGAGTGATTCTGAGCTACGGCTGATGGTAACCAGTATCCACTGGGCCTACAGGTCAACTACAGAGTCAAAGTCCCAGTAAAACAAGTGTGCACAGCAGTGGAGTTCTAGAATCATATAAGATAGAGCCCAAGAGGAGAACACTCCAATTCCAAGGCCCTGCTCACACTGTAACAGGACCTCCTTCCAGAGAGAGAAAAGGTTCTTCTCTGCTAAAGTTATCTCATGGTAACTTTCTCCAGCCTTGATGACCCAAATTTTCCAATTATGTGAATTTTAACTTATTTTCACGAATCCTCACCTAGAGTTATGATAATTGTATCTCCTAAACATGCAGGTTGACATTAACTTTTTTTTTTTTGAGATACAGTCTCATTCTGTTGCCCAGGCTGAAGTACAATGGCAGAGTCTTGGCTCACTGCAGGCTCAAACTCCTGGCCTCAAGTGATCCTCCCACCACAGCCTCCTGAGTAGTGAGGAATACAGACATGAGCCACCATGCCTGGCTGACACTTTTACTTTTTTAAAGATAAGTGTAATTGGTCTAAAGATGTATTTTCTGTTCTCTCACTGATAAAGATATTATTTTCCTCTCTGAAAGAACTGAAAATAAATAAATATGTAAATACATATTGGTGAACTGAACCACACTTACTGGGGGTTGTGCAATTAAGTCCGTGAAATCTTGCATGGAGACTAAAGCGAGGTTTTGCAGCTGCAAAGTCATAAGTGCTGCAGCACAGTTGAAAAAAGATTCCAATTTGGCACTGCTGTCACCAGTTGGCAAATGCTTTTTTTTATTACCTTGGTAATAAATATTCTGCACTTCTGCAAACCACCTTGAAAGAACAAAAGACTTTTAAAAGTCAATGCTTTCAGTGAATTACTCCTTTTAAACTAAGCATTAACAGTAATTTCTGGACATCCAAAGGTCTTCATAGAGAAGTATATTGCTAAATAATATTACCCACTCTCTGAAATGTAAGTGCTAAAATATTTCACTTCTAGGAAAAGAAATTTTAAATCTCAGCCAATTGAAAATGACTCAGTGATGTGATGTTGTAAGAAGACATAATTCTAACTCCTGGGACTATAACTCCTTTTTGAAGAAATATGAGAACTAACTTTATTGGATATTACAAAATACTCTTCTCCAATCTCTTAAATGTTCTCTAGGGAATATATTTGTTAGTTTAAATTTAAAATGTGAATAACTGACTAACCAAGGGAGGACTTATACCATGTTCAATACACTTGGTTGTTTCATGCTATTATATCTGTTTTAAGTGACTTGAAAACAATTTACAAATCAACAAAATCAGGTATTTATTTTCTCATTACCCTTAATGTGATACCTTGAAAGAGTGTCTGATCTAAAACAAAGTTTCAAATGTGTATGTGTCCTTGTAATAAAAGGAAAACAGTGTAATTTCATATATAGGTACATCATGATAACAAGCGAAGTTTTCAACTTATAAAACCACTCTCTGACACTACAGAATTAAAAAATATTGATATTGTTTTCCTTAAGATATAACCTTAAGTACAATTTAAAAATAAAAGGAAAAATAAATGGAGCAGGTAGGGTTATCTGATCATTTCAGTGTCTAAAATGAGATAATAAAATAGAAAACAGGAAGATATACATGAAGGAAGGTCCAGTTCAGGCAAGAGATGAAGTTAGTTTAAGTCTGCAGAACTGGAAAAAGTCTTTTCAGAACTGAGGATGGAAAAGACAAGTTAGATCTACATTGCAGAAAATCTTAAAAGGCATATTAAGAAATATGGACTTACTTTGTCAACAAAAGGGAGGCACTGAATGGGGGAATATTTTAAGATTCATCGGGCAGTGGTTTGTAGGCTAGGCTTAAAAAAGGAAGATACCAGAGACAAAGGAATATAGCAGTTATTCAGATTTTGCAATGGACTGCATGGGAGGTAAAGAGGGCCTGCCAAGGGTGGTGGTCCTGGGATACACATGCAAGATGCTTTGAGAGTAGATCAAAAATAGTTGATGGTCATAAAATAAGTCTCAACAAATGTAAAAGGATTAAAATCACACAAATCATTAATCAATAACAGAAGTACACTTAGAAATTCACAAACATGTCTAAACTAAACAACACATTTCTAAATAGCCAATGACTCAAAGAAGAAATCATAAGGGAAATAAGAAAACAAGATGAATGGAAATGAAAACACCACATACCATAACTCAGGGAATACAGCAAAATCAGTGATTAGAGAGAAATTTTTAGCTGTAAACACCTATGTCAAAAACAAGAGAGGGTTGGGCATGGTGGCTCATGCTTGTAATCCCAGAACTTTGGAAGGCTAAGTTGGGAGGATCTCTTGAGTCCAGGAGTTCAATACCAGCCTGGACAACATGGTAAGGGCCTGTCTCTAACACACACACACACACACACACACACACACACACACACACATATTCTTAGCTAGGCATGGTGATATGTGCCTGTATTCCCAGCTACACAGGAAGCTGAGATGAGAGGATGGTTTGGGCCCAGGAGGTTGAGGATGCAATTAGCCATGTTCATGCCACGGCACTCCTGCCTGGGCAACTGAGTGATACCTTGTCTCAAAAAAAAAAAAAAAAAAAAAAAAAAGGAAATATCTTAATTAAATAACATAAATAACATATAATTTCACTAGAAACTATAACAAGAAAAGAAAACTAAAAAAGAAAAAGAAGGGAGGAAATAAAGATGTAAGTCCAAACAAAAAAGTATTAACTAGAAAAAATAGAGAAAAATCAACAAACCTAAAGTTGGTTGTTTGAAAGGTCAACAAAACTCATGAACTTATAGCTAAACTGACCAAGAAAAAAGAGAGAAGACTCAAATTGTTAAAATCAGGAATAAAAGGGGAGACATTAATACTTACTTTACAGAAATACAAAGAATTCAAAGGGAATATAATATACAATTGTTTGTCAACAGATAATCTTAAAAAAATAGACAATTCTAGGAAGGCAAAAACTACCAAATCTGATTCAAAAACAAAGAGAAAATTGTAATACACCTGCAGCAAGTAGAGAGATCAAATTAATATGAATAATTTAAAAACCTTCCAGAAAAAAAGGCCAGGACTAGATGACTTCACTAGTAGTTCTAACAAGCATTTAAAAAATTAACACCAAACCAAATGTTTGGTTTGTAAAGAATTCACAAACAAAAAAGGAAAAGAGAAAAGAATACTTTCTTACTCATTTTATAAGGCCACTATTACCATAATACCAACTACAATGACATCACACACACACACAACTACAGACCAATACCCCTATGAATAAAAACACAAAAATCCTCAACAAAATACCAGCAAACCAAATCCAGAAGCACATAAAAAGGATTATATGGTCACATGTGATGGCTTATGCCGGTAATCCCAACACTCTGGGTGGCTGAGTCAGGAGGATTGCTTGAGTCCAAGAGTTTGAGACCAGCCTGGACAACATAGTGAGACCTTGTCTCTACAAAATTGAACAAAATTAGCTAGGCACATGCCTGTAGTCCCAGCTACTTGGAGGCTGAAGCATGAGAATCACTTGAACCCAGGAAGCAGAGGGTGAGCCAAGATCGCACCACTGCACTTCAGCCTGGATGACAGAGCAAGACCCTGTCAAAACAACAATAACAACAACAACAACAGGACTATCTCCATGATCAGGTAGAATCTACCTCCTCAGGAATGCAAGGTTTGTTCAATACATGAAAATCAATGTAATATACTATATTAATAAAAGGGAAAAATCACACGATTATCTCGATAGATTCAAAATTCATTTTACAAAATCTAACACTGTATGAGAAAAAAAAAAAAACATGTTTGCTCTTGCTGCTTCTAGTCAACATTGTACTGGAGGATCGAACCAGGGAAATTAGCTAAGAAAAGGACAAAAACATAACCAGATATAAAAGGAAGAAGTAAACTTATGTCATCCGCAAATAGAGAAAAGAAAACCATAAAGAATCCACATACAAAATCTATTAAAGCTAATAAATAAGTTTAGTAAGGTTGTAGAATACAAGATCAATATGTAAAATTCAGTTGTATTCCTACACATTAGCAATAAACAATCTGAAAATGAAATTGAGAGGTCCATTCCATTTACAATAACATTAAGAAGAATATTTAGAAAAAATAATACTTAGAAAAGATTGAAAACTTTCAGTATATAAGTATTACATTTTTGGTTTAATTTATATTTTAATTTTATACTGAAAGTTTTCAGTATATATTTATTTAGTTCTTTAATTTCTTTCAACAATGTTTCAAGACATGGCTGAAAGAAATTAAAGAACTAAATAAATCCAAAGACATCCTGTGTTCATGAATTGAAAGACTTAATATTAAGATGGCAATACTCCTAAAATTAATGTGCAGATTAAGTCATTCCCTATTAAAATCCCAATGGCTTTTTTACCAAAATGGACAAGTCGATACTAAAATGCATATGAAATACAAAGGACTCAGAACAACCATAATAATCTTGAAAAATAACAAAATTAGAAAACTCACACTTCCTGATCTCAAGACTTACTACAAAGCTACAGTACTCAAAATGGTTTGGTACTGGCATAAAGACAAATAGGCCAATGAAACAGAAGAGAGCCCAGAAATAAACCCTCACATATATGGTCAAATGATTTTCAGCAAAGATGTCCATACAATTTAATGAGAAGAGTCTTTTGCCCAAATAGTGCTCAGACTACCAGATATCTACATGCAAAATAATGAATTTTCTCTCCTATCTCAGATCATATATAAGTTAAAATGAATTCATTTTAATGGTCAAAAAGGCCTAAATGTGGGAACTAAAACTATAGAATGATTAGTTCTATCGTTTATAGAACACACAGGTAGCCAGGTAAATCTAGGTGGCTTTGGACATGATACTGATATGGGTTGGCTGTGTCCCCACCCAAATCTCAACTTGAATTGTAATAATCCCTATGTGTCAAAGGTGAGGCCAGGTGGAGGTAATTGAATCATGGGGGCAGTTTTCCCCATGCTCTTCTTGTGGTAGTGAGTAAGTCTTATGAGACCTGATGGTGCTATAAAAGGGAGTTCCCCTTCACATGTCCTCTTGCCTGCTGCCATGCAGGATAGGGCTTTGCTCTTCATTCACCTTCCATGTTGATTATGAGGCCTCCCAACCACGTGGAACTGTGAGTCAACCCAACCTCTTTCCTTTATAAATTACCCAGTCTCAGGTATGTCTTTATTAGCAGATACCAAAGGCACAAGCAACCAAAGAAAAAACAGATAAATTAGGCTTCATCAAAATTAAAAATATTTGTGCTTCAAAGGACACTGTCAATAGGAAAAATATTTGCAAATCATATAATAAGGGTCTAATATCCAAAACATACAATGAACTCTTACACCTCAACAACAAAATATCAGATATTTTACATGTCAATTATAAAATATCAGACAATCCAGTAAAAATGAGCAATGATTTGAATAGACATTTTCCAACAATGATAAATAATGGACAATAAGCCCATAAAAAGACACTCAACATTATTGGTCATTAGGGAAATGCAAATCAAAACCATAGTGAGATACAACTTCATAACCATGAGGCTGGCTACAAGCAGAAAGATGAACAATAAATAACAACTGTTAGAAAGTATGTGGAAAAATTGGAACCCTCATAACTTGTTGTTAGGAATGTGAAATCTTATATTCACTTGGGAAAACAGTGCAGCTACTCCTCAAAAAGTTAGAATTACCATACAATCCAGCAATTTCACTCCTAGGTACACACCCAAGAGAATTTAAAAATGTATTTACACAAAATAAATATTTATAGCAAAAACAGCCAAAAAGTAGAAACAAGCCAAATGTCCATCACCTGATGGTTGGATAAATGTTTTATATCCATACAATTAAATATTATTTGGCCATGGGGAAAAAAATGACATATTGACACATGCTATAATATGAATGAACCTTGAAAAACCAGGCATAAATGACCACGTTGTATCATTTCACTGAGATAATATCCAGAGTAGAGAAATTCACAGAAACAAAAAGTATATTAGTATAGTCACCAGGCACGTTTGGGTGGAAGAATGGGAAATGGAAAGAAAGGAAATCAACATATCAAAGAGATATCTGCACACCCATGTTTATTGCAGCACTATTCATAATGGCCAAAATACAGAATCAACCAGGCCCATCAGTGGGTGAATAAACAGGTACGGAGCTTCTTTCTAGGATGTATTAAGCCATTCTTATGTTGCTATAAAGCAATATCTGAGACTGGGTAATTCAAAAACAAAAGAGGTTTAATTGGCTTATGATTCTACAGGTTGTACCAGCATGGTTCTAGCATCTGCTTCCAGTGAGGGCCTCAGGAACTTATAATTAATGTGGAAGGTGAGGGGGAACAGCCATATCATATGGCCAAAGCTACAGCAAGGAGGAAGGTGCCATACACTTTTAAACAACCAGATTTTGTGTGAACTCAGAGCAAGAACTCACTTATTATCATGACAACAGAGCCAAGCTATTCATGAGTGATCTGTTCCCAAGACCCAAACAGCTTCCATCAGGCCACACCTCCAACACTGGGGATTACGTTTCAATATGAGATTTGGAGGGAAAAAACATTTAAACTATACTGCTTGGTGAAAATGAAAATGTTCTGTAATTAGTTGTGATGGTGGCACAACCATGTGAGTATATTATAAACTACTGAATTGTACACATTAAAATAGTGAATTTTATGGTAAATGAATTATTTCTCAATAAAAAAGAATAGCAATACATTGGGTATTGCTGGAAGCAGAGCTAAAGTTTCATGTTTTCCTACATAAAATTTCGAAAGAGAACAAAAAAAGTCACAAGGCTTTCAACTTGGCCTAGGAATGGTTCACAAAAGGAAGAATAGCAGGTCTGGAGGAAAGAGAATAAGCATTGCTATGAACATGCTGAGATTCAGCTGCTGATAAGACATTCAACTAAAGAGATTCAGTATTATATCAGTCTGGGCAAAGATGTGTTGAGGAATACCTAAATGCACAGGCAAGAAAGGCAAAAATTAACAAACAGGATAACATCAAGCTAAAAAGCTTTGCATAGCAAAGGAAATTATCTATACAAAGTAAAGAGACAACCTACAGAATGGGAAAAAATGTTCGCAAACTATTCATCATACAAAGGATCAATAACCAGAAAACAGAGAACTCAAACAACAGCAAAAATCCAAATAATCTCACTAAAAATGGAAAAATGATCTGAATAAACATTTTCCTAAATAAAATGTACAAATAGCCAACAGGTATATGAAGAACGTCTAACATTCCTATTCATCAGGGAAATGCAAATCAAAAGCACACTGAGATATCATCTCACTCCGGTTAAAATGGCTACTATCAAAAGTACAAAAAATAACAGATGCTAGCAAAGATACAGAAAAAGAACTCTTTCCTTCCTTCCTCTCTCTCTTCTCCTTCCACATTCCCTTTCTTTTTCTTGGACCAGAGTCTCACTCAGCCACCCAGGCTGGAGTGCAGTGGTGCAATCTCAGCTCATTGCAACCTCCACCTCCCAGGATTAAGCGATTCTCCTACCTCAGACTCCTGAGTAGCTGGGATCATAGGCATGTACCACCAAATCCAACTAATGTTTATATTTTTAGTAAAGATGCGGTTTCATCATGTTGGCCAGGCTGGACTCAAACCCCTGACCTCACGTCATCTGCCCACCTCAGCCTCCCAAAGTGCTGGGATTGCAGGTGTGAGCCACTATGCCCAGCTGAAAGGGGGACTTTCACACACTGTTGGCAACACAAATTTGTAAACCACTATAGAGAACACTACGGCGGCTCCTCAATAAACTAAAATTACAACTACCATATAACTCAATAATTCCACTGCAGGGTATGTATCCCAAAGAAAGGAAATCAATATATCAAAGAGATATCTGCCCTCCTATGTCTATTGCAGCGCTGTTCACAATAACCAAAATACATACTCAACCTGGCCCATCAGTGGGTGAATAAATATAGTGTGTGTGTGTGTGTGTGTGTGTGTGTGTGTGTGTGTGTGTGTGTGTAGTATATAAAATGTAAATAAAATATAAAATGTATATAAAATATAGTATATAAAATGTAGTGTATATATAGATACACAATGAAATATTATTCAGTCATAAAAATGAATATAATCCTGTCATTTGCAGCAACATGGATGAGCCTGGAGGACATCATGTTAACTGAAATAAGCCAGGCACATAAAGACAAATATCACATGCTCTTATTCATATGTTAAAGCTAAAAAAAAAATGGTATCATTGAGGTTGTAAGTAGAATGGTGGTTAAGAGAGAATAGGAAAGGTAGGGATGCTATGGAGGATGAAGAGAGGTTGGTTAATAGACACAAAAATACAGCTGATAGAAAGAACAAGTTCTGGTGTTTGATAGCAATGCAGTGCGACTACAGTTAACAAGAATTTATAGTATATTCCAAAATAACTACAAGAGAAGATTTAGAATGCTCCCAACATAAAGAAATAATAAATGTTTGAGGTGATGGATATGCTTATTACCCTAATTGAATCATTATTCATTGTACGAATACATCAAAATATTCCAAAAGTATATGTACCCTATAAATATGTACAACTATTATGTATCAATTTAAAAAATTGGTAAGACAGGCCTAAAGCTCAGAATACAGAATCTTGAGACAGATGAAATCATGAAAACATCAAGAGAATATAAAGAGAGAACAACAAAGACCTGGGGAACCCTACTTGTAGGGAATAATAAGTAAAGCCAGAAAAAGATAAATGGAAGAAGAACTAGAGAAACACAGCAGCACAGAAAAGCAGGTTTCCAGAAGTCTGGGTGATATACCACACACTGTGAGTAAAAGTGTAAGATGAGGACAACGAAAAGGCATTTAGGTTTGGGGTAGAAGTTATAATTAATCATTTGCTAATCGTTTCTCCTCTATGAGCTGATGCTCTGCCTTTTGCCTCACTACCTAAAGTATGGTCAGAAAGTTCTTTTCTGACAATCAATCAGGAAGCATCAAGAGATTCAGCTAATCAATCTACATTTCTGAGAAAAATAATTCAATAAAGTTTTGTACTCTACTCTGTAATGTGACATCCATTTAACTAAAATTTATAGTGCTAATATATTTCTGGGTATAACCCAGAAGTTATAGATCAAGATAATTTATTTGTATCCTGTCCTTAAGAGGTCACTTTCTTCTCTGTAGTTAATTATGTGTTTTCATTTTATCACCTCTTTTCTATTTCTATGTTAACTTAATACTAATATAAAAGGCTAACGTTTTTTCAAGTAATATCAGACAAATAATTTGATTATATAAAAGGCTAACGTTTTTTCAAGTAATATCAGACAAATAATTTGATTCTAACACACTGGAGAAGCAAGCAAGATAAAGGAAATATTTAATCTCAAATTATGAAGATATCTAAGTAACTTTTAGAAACTATGAAACTATGCCAGCAGTTTTATGTACTCTGCTTTCTTAAATTTGACCTAATTTTAATGTCCGGTTTATAATAACTTAATGACCCACGATAGAAACAATTTTCCTAAGTTGTTTCAAAGCATACTGTCTGTCTTTAAGAGGTCACCTTCTTCTCTGTAATTATGTGTTTTCATTTTATCATCTCTTTTCTATTTTTATGTTATCATTATGAATTATCACATGTGGCTATTCCATTCTGAAGAGCCAATCCAAGGAGATATTCAATTATCATTTGATAGGTCTGCTTTCCATCGAGATTGTAAAGTCATTTAAACGATATACTCTCCCCACCTAATCATTCTTTAAACTCTTCTGCTTTCCCCATCCAAAAACAAAATGAAAGGAGGTATAGAGTCTAGCATGTATTTACAGTAGATGACAAATGAATATCTGGGGAATAATGAGTATGTAACCATTCCCTCATGGTATTCAGTACGCCTCTCAAAGGACAGGTACAAACCAGACATTTAGAAAAAAAGTAACCATTTGTCATGAACATTTTAGTTTCTACACAATCTATGCTGTATAGAACATATGGACAAATATTAGAGTAATATAATTAAATATATATTTAATTCATATAAAAATGATTTAAAACATGTTAAAATGGGATTTTCTAAAAGCAGTTAAAATGCAGTAGTCCACCAGTGACATTTTTAAACTTATGCTTTCCCACATGAAATTTCAAACCTTTACATTTTAAGTAGAGTGTCTTTGGCAGATTCCATGTGTCTCATAATAATGTTCTGAAAACTTGACAACTCTAATGCATCATGGCGATTATGAAATTCTTCAATATCGACTAAACGTAATTTTCTGCAAGAGATAAAAATAAGCAGTAATTTAACAATGACTTTTTTGGTATCTAATATTTTACTAATTGGTCCCTTCTCAAAAATATCATATTCCTAGGTTTAATCATTAAAAATTGTGTTCCATAAAATTAAATGTTAAAGAACACAAGATATTCTCATTTTAAAAATAATTCATATAATTAAATTCAATAGGAACACAATAAAACATGTAATTTCACTGTGAAGTAGAAGAAAGTTGCAACAACTGAGATATGATGGATAGTTCAGACTGGTTTTTGTTTTTAAACTGTAATAATTTAAACAAGAAAAGTGAGGGCTCAATGCTTCTAGAATCCATTGCTCTGAGAAGAAAAATTGCACCCTCTCTGAAAAGAAAGCAACCCTAAACTTCAGGCATCCATGGGATGAAGGGGTCTCATATCTAATCAAGAACCAGTGTATCAAACTCTTGAACGTGTCTGATTTATGCTTTTTAAGAACACAGGGATTACTGGCGTCAACAACTATCAAAACAATCCCTTTTGACTACAGTGTTATAGATCTTTGTTGTACACATAGTTTACTCAGCTAAGTATTTTCTCTGGTAGATTGACTAAAATGAAAGAATAATATTAGCATTAGTGTCATCATGTTCTTAAAAAAAAATCACATTTAATGTTTCCTTAACGACCAATGTAAAATACTGGTTAGTAAACAAAACACATTTCAAATCTATTTCTTTATATTTCTTCTGCAAGCTAAAATTCATCTAAGTTATAATGCACTCTACATGACATTGATAATACATTAGGCACAAAGTAGGTATAAACACTGCTAGAGAACCAATGTGTTATTCTGCATAATTCAGCAATATAATGACTCCTAAAATATAGCATAATAGCACATATTAAACATAAGGTATCTCTTTTTAGCTTTAGTCAATGCTTTCAACATTATTTTACATTTTTAAACTACAGCCGTAATCAGGATGCAGATGCATGTGGTGTGAAATAGCCCTGAATAAAAAGTAGTTGCAAGGGTACAATCTCTGAAATCCACCTTGCCATTGAGCCATCAGACCAATTTTCCTTAATTTCTTAGTGTTCAATTTGAAACAGAATTTGAGGCACAGAATACCATCTTTGATGTTTTGAGATTGAAAGGTTTTACACAGCACAATAACTTTCCCATGAAATCTCTGCAAATAATATTGCCCATTTGGTCAATAGGCTGAATTGTTAAGAAAACAGGAAAAATACTACCAGACACTGTTCTTGCTTTCTTGGGATGGTCCCTACAATAACCCAGCAGTGGAACAATAGTTTAAAATCATTGGTTTAAGACAATAGAAAATATCAGGAAAAAAGGTATTACTCACTATGCATTAGCTTCAATTTGGTTAATGGAAGGAAACAGATATTTCTTGAAAAAGTTTTATGATGATCCGTCTTCTAACCACCAAAATAACTTCTTCATTTCAATTTTCTATTGGTAGGACCAAATAGCTCCAAATCACCCAGACCATGAAACTCTGGATTGTCTTTGAACTCTCCCTGTCCTTTACCTCCCCATATCCAATCAGAAGTGAATTTTGTAGGCCCATCTGTCGGCCACATATCCTTCCTGCCCTCACAACTGTCACTTAATGCTCACCTCAAGCTGAAACCCACGCTGATCCTTGGCTCTGTCACAGATTTTCAGGCAGGAGGAATTTCAACAGTCCTGGTCCAATATTCTGGACTCAGCATCAAGTCAGTCTCTACCTTTGTTCTCTGGTTCTCAAAACCAATATTCTCCCTTCTTACCAAGACCGAGTTTCCCACACAAATTCCACTCGAAGTATCTACATTTCTTGGTTGTCCCATGAAACTTTCCCTTTCTCAGGAACACATTTTGCTTTTGCTAATCCTCCTTTTCTGTGTAGGGGGCACATGGCAACATATTTAAGCTTATGTACATGCCATTTCAGGTTGAGGCATGGAAAAATACTGAGGCACTGTGTATGTTATTTGTGCATGGGGATGAAACTACTTAACCCTGAAAACAGGACAAGGAGTGGTGTGTGTGGTATGATAAGGAATGCTGAAAACAGCCCCCTGAGATTGCAGTTTGAGTGTGCACAGGGTCACAGGTCCTCAGTAACCCATCTCAAATGGCCATCTAGTGGATGTTTGTAATTAACACAAGCCCTTTCAACAAATGCTTGGTGGCTGGGTGCTGGGGCGGATTCTCACAAGAGCTACCCGCCAGCCCCACTCAGCTGGAACTGTTCGAGTACTCTGTTCTTGGCATTCACTGTAAGCTATAAGCTCTGCAACTGCACAAGGTGCCCCCGATGTGATCGCCTTGAATTTAGCGTGAAGGTGAAGAGCTTATCAATTTTCAGGGAATCCCGGTAAGGGACAGTTCTGACTCCCATCAAGAGGACAGGACATACGTGTAAAATATCAGGGGTTAGGTTATCATGGGTTAAGAAATGACCAAAGAGCAGAAAGTATTTTTTAAAACAGTGCAACAGCTACTTAAGGCTATCCAGCGCACTGTAGAGCCCAGAGCTCTACACAAGGTTATTCTCTTAATTCAGCAAAAATGCCATCGGTTTCCTGATCAAGGAACCTTAGATTTAGTTATGAGAGCAGGTAGGTCGCTGCCTGAAAAGAAGATATGAGCAAGGTCATTTTACTAATGTTATTATTTTGACCACCTGGGCACTGGTACGCTCAGTGTTGTATCCTCTTTATCTGCCAGATTGCAGTGAGTCAAACTGCCCATCTTTTCCTCCTAAAGGAAATTTGGGGGATTTAAAGGAGAAGGAAAACCAGAAACCAGAACACAGGGAGAGACTTCTCTCCCCTCTTTATTCCCTTCTATGGGGAATAAGGAAGAGATTTTTTTCTAGTGAGGATAAAGATGGACTGGAGCCCTCCTCCCCCTATAGAAAAGCTATTATGTTCTTTTACTCCACCCTTAAAGGGCCCTGCATCTGTTGGCCCTGCTCAGCCAGCAGTACCTTCCATCCCCCTTGAGGCTGGAGGCCGCCCAAGGGACGGTTCTTGGATAAGAACTCCGGTCAGCAAACATCTATATCATCAGGTGGCTGCATCTCCTTGACAAACTTCCCTGCTGGAAGGGTGCCTCCAGGAGGGAAGGAAAGTGGCTGATTTTGATTGTCTTCCTAATATGCAAGTTCTCACTTCCCACTTCCAGCATCGGCCTTTCTGGCCTTGTCTTTTTTTTGTTTCCCTGAAGTGTAAGGGAAAGTTGCATGCTGCCTCCTGGGTTTTATCCCAGAAAGCATTAGCTTTCTTGCTGCCCACAGAGGCCTGGGGCAGGAGAGTTACTAAGATGTCTTGGGGTACCCATTTGGTCACTGGCAGTCTGGGCAGGTTGCCCCTTTCTGGGTTTGTGGTGATGGAGGGAAGGCCAAGAGGCACAGACCAGGTCCCCAGGTGGCTGTAGCAGCTCCAGCCCGGTCCTAAGAATCCTTCTCACCATGACCACGTGCCTTAATGACTGTGCCCAGAAAGTGACCTGCTGCTTGCTGTGCTGCTGCTTTTCCTACGTCTGCCCTTCCCTGCTACCCCTCAGATGTCTCAGTTGACGAGCAATTCCTTGTCCTCCCTAGCTCCCTAGGGAATGGGCTAAGAAACAGTCCATGCACCCCTGACTTTATTTGCGTAAGGTGGGCAGAGGAGTGTGAAGCAGCCTAGAGTACAGAGCTCTGGGGGAGGAGCCTGCTAATAAGGGGCTCTCTCCCGTAGCAGTATATTAAATGCTAACTCGGCTGAGGTGCATGAGCTCTGCCAGCTGCTGTCATCTTCAGAAGACAGATGCAACAGTAAGGAATTTTTATTTTGCTTTTTTACAAAATGTTTAAGAACACTGTGGCTGGGAAACTTCAAAGCAGACCCTGTGCTGCATGTCTGCTTCTCCCCTGAGCCTCTCTGCTTGGGGGTAGTAAAAATAACAAAAAGCCCAGTATATTTTCAGTACCCTACCTAACAGGGTTGACTCTAAGCATAGGTGGTCTGGAGGATGAGGGGAGTGGTCTTCTCCCAGCCTGTTACCCTCTTGCCTCCTGCCTCCACGCTTAAACACACACTTTACCACCTGGTTATTCTCTGGCCTCTCACTGCCACTTGTAGTCTTCCTTCCTCCCTTCCTCTAAGGGTAAGCGGAGCAACAGATGGCATGCTATTAAAAAGAGAGGCTGCCTAAGGAGCCAGGAGCAGATGGAAAGAAAGGCCACAGCCCTACTTTCCCAAGCTTACTTCTAAGACATTCCAGCTAAAGGCTAATGCAAGAGAATGGCCAACACCAAAGGAGCATCACCTCATGTCATTCACTTGGCAGTATCTGCTACATTTTCCAACTGTTTAGAAGACTAGAGCAGCTAATGTTCATTGCAATTTAAAACAAGTTATGATAATTCAGCCCCTTAACTGTGATTACCATTAAAATATGCACAGTGATCGGGTGGGGAGGAGGAAGTGAACTGGGACAGAGATAAACAGCAATGTTCAGAGGTGGCACAACATGGCAGACTAGAAGCCTATACCAGTCTTTCCCCGAGCTGGAACACAAAATTTTAACAACTATCTGCACAGAGAAAAGCACTACCACAAAAAACAAAAATCAGGTGAGCAATCATAGTACCTGGTTTCATACTGCTGAAGAAGACATTGAAGAGGGCAGGAGAGGCAGTCTTGAATTGCTGATGCCACCCCTCTCCCATCCCCCAGCAGTGGCACAAAGACTGAATCCATGCACTTTGGGTAAGGGAGAATGCAGTGACTGAGGGACTTTACTTTGAACTCAGTGCTGCCTTGTCACAGCAGAGACTGAAGCCCTGCTGGGCTCAGCCAGCACCTGTGCATGGAGGGAGCATTTGGACCAGCCCTAGCAGGTAGGAAATTGCCATCCCAGTGGTCAGAACTTGAGTTTCTTGGCAAGCCTCACCACCGCAGACTGAAGTATTCTAAGGTCCCAGGTAAACTTGAAAGGTGGTCTAGGACCCAAGGACTGCAATTCCCAGGCAACTCCTAGGGTTAGGCTGGGCTTAGAGCCAGTGAGCCCAGGTGGCATGTGACCTAGGCAGACACCAGCTGACACAGCTAAGGAAGTACTTGGGCCATCCCTTCCTTAGACCCAGGCAGTGCAGCTCACAGCAACAAATGTGACTCCTTCCTTCTGCTTAAGGAGAGGAGAGCAAAGAGTAAAGAGGACTTTGTCTTGCATTTTGTATATCAGCTCAGTCACAGCAGGACAAGGCACCAGAGGTGCGAGGTCCCTATCCCAGGCCCTAGCTCCCAGATGACATTTCTAGACACACCCCTGGGCCAAAAGGGAATCTACTGCCTTGAAAGAAAGGACACAGTGCTGGCAGGAATCGTCACCTGCTGACTAAAGAACCCCTGGGCCCTGAATAACCAACTGTGATACCCACGAAGTACTCTGAGGGTCATGGTCTCTGAGACATGCTGGCTTCAGGGATGACCATTCCCAGCTGTTGTAGCTATTGTGAAAGACTCCTTCTGTTTGAGAAAAGCAGGGGGAAAAGTAAAAGGGACTTGTACTTTAAGTATCAGCTCAGCCACAGTGGGGTAGAGCAACAAACAGACCTTTAGGGTCACCAAGTCCAAGCCTAGGCTCTTGGAAAGTATTTCTGGACCTGCTCTGGGCGAGAGGGGAGCTCAATCCTCTAAAGCGTGAGTCCCAAGCCTGGCAGCATTCACCATAAGCTGATGAAAGAGCCCTTGAACTTTAAGTGAGCATTGGTAGTGGCCTGGCAGAACCCCTCATAAACCAGTGGTGGTAATGGCTACAGGGAGAGGCTCTTCTGCCTGTGGAAAGAAGAGGAAGAGCAGGAAGGACTTTGTATTGTGGTTGGAGTGCCAGCTTAGCTGCGGTAGAATAGGACATAAGGTAAATTGCTACAGTTTTTGACCCCAATTCCTGCTTCCAGAGAATATCTCTGGACATGCCTGGAGGAACTCGCTATCCTGAAGGGAAGGGCCTTGGGCAAGGCCCAGTGCTGTGCTGGCTTCAGGTCTGATCCATTGCAGTCCCAGTGATGGTGGCCACAGAGTTGCTTGCATCACCACACTCCCAGCTCTATGTGGCTCAGCACAGAGAGACTCCATTTGTTTGGGAGAAAGTAAAGTAAAGATATAAGAGTCTCCTCCTGGTAATCCAGAGAATTCTTCTGAAACTTATCCAAGACCACTAAGGTAGTACCTCCATGAGTCTGCAAAAACCACAGTGTTATGGGGTTTGGGGTCCAAGTTCCTTTAAATATCTGGAAAACCTTGCCAAGAAGGACAGGCACAAATAAGCCCAGACTGTGAAGACTACAACAGATACCTAACTCCTCAATGTCCAGACACTGACAAACATCTACTAGCATCAATACCATCTAAGAAAATATGACCTCACCAAATGAACTTAATTAAGCAAAGCACCAAGGACCAATCCTGAAGAAACAGAGATATATGACCTGTCAGAGAATTCAAAATAGCTATTCTGAGGAAACTCAAATAAATTCAAGATAACACAAAGAAGGAATTCAGAATTTTATGAGATAAATTTAACAAAGAGATTGAAATAACTAAAATGAATCAAGCAGATATTCTAGAGTTGAAAAACACAACTGACATGCTGAAGAATGTATCAGAGTCCGTTAATAGCAGGATTATGTTAATGGGTGAAAGAAAATATATAATTAGAATGAGTAAGACGTAGTATTTGATAGTACAACAGGAGGACTACAGTCAATAATACTTTAATTGTACATTAAAAAATAACAAAGAGTATAAATGGATTGTTTGTAATGAAAAGGATAAATGTTTGAAGGGATGAACACCAAACCTTCCATGGTGTGATTACTCACTACATGCCTCTACCAAAATATCTCATGTACCCCACAAATATATACATCTACTATGTACTCACAAAAATTTAAAATTTTAAAATTTTAGAAAAGCAATGTTCACTTTTTACTCTATATACTTCTATGTTGTTTATTTAAATCCATGTTTGAATACTTACATTAAAAATGGTAATGTTTTACTTTGCAGTCAAAGTAGTAAAAGAAAAAAATAAGCTATAGTAAAACAACTTCCCTCTATATTTTAAAAACCTCTGTAGGGCCACATATACTCACTTAAAATTACTGTGCCACAAATCTAGTACAGCCAGCATCGTGGGATTCATTGCATTCAAGTGATCCCTAATATAATTGCTTGCAGCTAAAAAAGATTTCCTCCAAGGTTTTGGCAGAATTTCCATTCTGAAAACAAAGAAAATATTCAGCTACATTATTTCAAAGTCAAAAGAAAATATTTTTATAGTAAGTACATTTGGGTAATAATGAATTAATTTTAATAAAATACGTGATGCATCCCTTATAACAAAACAAGTAATTGTGTTTTAAAATATCTAAAGATCATATGTTTTATGGTTTAGTATAATTTCATAATAATGATTCTGAAATTAGGTTTAAATCTTTAATACAAAAAGTAATTTGTCTCCAAATACTTGATCTTATTGAATTCACAAATAACTTACAATCAACAAATGGAAACAACAGCCAGCTATCTCTCATAAACATCTTCAAAGATTCTCTACTAATTTCAGGATATGCATTTAAATTTTCCCTGGATTTATTTTTTAAATTCATCCTTTTCATTTTTAAAACATTTTAAGGATATAGTCCAACCTAACTATAGAAACCCCCTTGAACTTATCCTCTGGTAATATTTAAACATCATTTATAAATCACACTCTCTAATGTTCTTAATTGAAAACACATTTATAGTCAACCTTTGAATAACGCAGGTTTGAACTGTGCATGTGGATTTTCTTCCGCTTCTGCCACCCACACTCCCACAGCAAAACCAATCTCCTTCTCCCTCACCCTCTTCCTTCTCCTCTTCCTCCACCCCTGCCACTTCCTCTTCTTCCTCCTCTTATCACTATCACCATGTAAAGATTACAAGGATGAAGACCTTTACAATGTTCCACTTCCACTTACCGAATAGTAAATATATTTTATCTCTTATGATTTTCTTAACGTTTTCTTTTCTCTAGCTTACTTTATTCTAAGAATTCAGTATGTAATATATATAACACAAAAAATATGTGTTAATTGAATGTTTATGCTATCAGTATGGCTTCCAATGAACAGTAGGCTATTAATAGTTAAGTTTTGGGGAAGTCAAAAATTATATGTGGTATAGCAGCTCAGTGGCTCTTACCCCGTGTTAAGGATCAACTGTATTCTGTAACTCCTGTAACTTTAATAATCTTTTATATATTGAAATGTGCCATCTTCACCTTTCAGAATATATTTAAACATTCATATTTTATGTGTATAACTTTTGTACTCTTACTGATTTTAAACACATAGTCTTGTTTTATTATACAGTAATTGTAATTTAATTTTTCATGTGTGGCTATACCACCTTTGCAATTATGAAGGATGATTTTTGTCTTTCCCAGGAGAAAAGTTGTTCTCCATAGAGGATATGGGAAAATGGGTACATAACGTTTTGTGTGTGTATGTGTGGAATGGGAAATAATTTGGGCTTTTTTGGTTTGTTTATTTGAGATGGAGTCTCACCCTGTCACCCAGGCTGGAGTACAGTGGCACAATCTCAGCTCACTCCAACTTCCACCTCCTGGGTTCAAGCGATTCTCTCACCTCAGCCTCCTGAGTAGCTGGGATTACAAGATTATACCACCATGCCAGGCTACCGTTTGTATTTTTAGTAGTGACGGGGTTTCGCTACATTGGCCAGAACTGGTCTCAAACTCCTGACCTCAAGTGATCTGCTCGTCTCAGTCTCCCAAAGTGCTGAGATTACAGGTGTGAGCCACTGAGCTTGGCCTTTGGGGCATTTTTAAATGATACAAAAGAACGTAAAACTGAAGTGGTTAATCATATAAACTCCATCTTTCAAACTATTTAAGATTTATTCCTAAATGTTAATTATTATTAGAGAAAATATACAGCAAGTGGATTTTCCCATTTTGTGTTCTGTATTTCAATCCATGTAAACTGAAAGACATTCTTATAAATATATATCTTCTGCAATGTTCCCAGTGTGTTTCTGCACCATCAATCTTTTATGCTCCTAGCATATCTGAAGTCTGTGCTAGTTGCTACGGGGATTTTAAAAAACCCTATATCAAATTATTTCCACCAAATACTTACCTTTTCACCATCTTAGTGTCCATCTGTCTATGTTTAGTCATCTACCTATCAATCCATCAACTCATAAATGTAATTACAGTTAAATACATAAATAAAGACCATAAGAACAATTAGTTGTATAGAGGCTTACAGTAGAGATATTGCAGGTTTGGTTCAAGACCATCCCCATAAGGCAAATACTGCAATTAAGCAAGTCACACAAACTTTTGCTTTCCCAGTGCATATAAAATGTATGTTTATGTTATATTGTAGTCTATTAAGTACACAATGGCATTATATCTTTAAAAAAAACATGTAGGGCCAGGCACAGTGGCTGACACCTGCAATCCCAGCACTTTGGGAGGCCAAAACGGGAGGAGTTTTTTAGCCCAGAAGTTCAAGACCAGCCTGGGCATAGGGAGACTCAGTCTCTACAAATTTTTTTTTAAATTAACTGGGTGTAGTGGTATGCTCTTGTGGTCCCAGCTACTTGGGAAACTGATGTGAAAGGATCACTTGCACCTGGGAGGTTAAGGCTGCACTGAACTACGATCATGCTACTGCACTCCAGCCTGGGCAACAGAGAGAAACTCTACCTCAAAAATTAAAAAAGAAAAAAAGAAACCAAGTGCAGTGGCTCACACCTGTAATCCCAGCACTTTAGGAGGCTGAGGTGGACAGATCATGAGGTCAGGAGTTCAAGACAAGCCTGGCCAACATGGTGAAACCCCGTCTCTACTAAAAATACAAAAATTAGCCAGGCATGGTGGTACACACCTGTAAAGCCAGCTACTCAGGAGGCTGAGGCAGGAGAATCCCTTAAACCCCAGAGGCAGAGGTTGCAGTGAACCAAGATCACACCACTGTATTCCAGCCTGAGCAACAGAGTGAGACCCTGGCTCGAAAAAAAAAAAATGCATACACCCAAATTTTAAAATACTTTATTGTCACAAAATACTAACAATCATCTCAGACTTTTGCGAGTCATAATCTTTTTGCTGGTAGAGGATCTTAATGGCCTCTAACTGATCAAGCTGTGGCAATTTTTAAAAATAAGACAACAATGACATTTGCCACATCATCAATTGACTCTTCTTTTCATGAAAGATTTCTCTGTAAGCATTCAATGCTATATGACAGCATTATAGCCAACTAGAACTGCTTTCAAAATTGGAGTCAATCCTCTCAAATTCTGATGCTGCCATATCAGCTAGCTTATGTAATACTCTAAATCCTTTATTGTCATTTCAGTGTTCACAGCATCTTCATCAGGAACAGAATCCATCTTAAGAAACCACTTTGTTTGCTCATCCGTAAGAAGCAACTTCTCATCTGTACAAGTTTTATCATGAGATGTCAGCAATTCAGTCACATCTTCAGGCTATACTTCTAATTCTTATTCTCTGGCTTCTAACACATCCTTCCAACACATCTGCAGTGACTTCCTCCAGTGAAGTCTTGAGCCACTCAGAGTCATCCATAAGGGTTGAACTTCTTCCAAACTTCTGCTCATGTTGATATTTTTACCACCTTATATGAATCACAAATGGTATTCATACCATTCTTAATAGTATCTACAACAGTGAATCCCTTCCAGAAAGTTTTCAATTTACTTTGCTAAGATCTCTCAGAGAAATCACTTTGGTAGATACAGCCTTTCAAAATTTTTTCTATAATTTCAACTTTTATTTTAGATTCAGGGGGTATATGTGTAGGTTTATTACATGGGTATATTCTGTGATGCTGAGGTTTGGGGAACAATTGATCCCATCACCCAGGTACCAGCATAGTCCCTGATATAGTTTGTATATCTCCTCCAAATTTCATGCTGAAATGTAATTCCCAGTGTTGGAGGTGGGGACTTTTGGGAGGTAACTGGATCATGGGGGCAGATTTCTCACAAATCGTTTATCTTCATCCTCTTGGCTCTGTCCTCATAATAGCGAGCTTTCACAAGATCTGGGTGTTTAAAAAAGTGTGTGGCATCTTCCCTCTCACCCTTTCTTAATCCTGCTCTTGCCATGTGAGTTGCCTGCTCCCATTTTGCCTTCTGCCATGATTGTAAGCTTCCCAAGGCCTCCCCAGAAGTCAAGCAGATGCCAGCACCATACTTCCTGTAAAACCTGAACAACTGTAAGCCAATTAAACCTTTTTTTCTTTATAAATCACCCAGTCTCAGGTATTTTTCTATACCAACACAAGAACAGCCTAACACAGAACCCAATAGTTGATTTTGCAAGCCTTGCTCCATTATGGAGATAGCTTCTTTTCTTAAGCCTCATGAAGCAACCTCTGCTACCTTCAAACTTTTCTTCTGCATCTTCCTTACCTTTCTCAGCCTTCATGGAATTGAAGAGAGTTAAGGCCTTGTTCCGGATTAGGCTCTGGCTTAAGGAAATATCATGGCTGGTTTTATCTTCTTCCAGAACACTTCCTCCATATCAGCAATAAGGCTGTTTCGCTTTCTTGTCAGTCATGTGTTCAATGGAGCAGCACTTAAAATTTCCTTTGCCTTCACAGCCTGGCTAACTGGTGCAAAAGGCCTAACTTTGGCCTGTCTTGGCTTTCAATATGTCTTCCTCAGTAAGCTTAATGATTTCTAGCTTTTGATTTAAAGTGAGAGATGTGTGACTCACTTAGAGGCCATCTTAGGTTACCTGGCCTAATTTCAATACTGTTCTGTCTCAGGGAATAGGGAGGCCTTAGGAGAGGAAGAGAGATGGGGGAGTGACTGGTTGGTGGAAGAGTCAGAACACGCACATTTATTGACATAATTTGCCATCTTATATGGGTTCAGTTTGTGGCTTTCCAAGGTAATTATAATAGTAATATCAAATATTACTGATGACAGATCATAAGAGATATAATAATGGAAAAAGTTTAAAATACTGTACGAATTACCAAAATTGACAGAGACACAAAGTGAGCACATGCTGTTAGAAAAATGATGCCAATAGACTTGTTCGACAAAGGCCTACAGTTGCAAAAAAAAAAAAAAACGCTCATAAACCTACTATTTACAAAATCAGTATCTGTGAATTACAGTAAAGCAAAGTGCAAGAAGATGAGGCATGCCTGTATATGAAATATATACATACACACAAATACATTTACTTATATATAAATTATAAACATATATATGAGAAAATATAATTGGTATAGAAATATATAAACATATACAGACATGGTCACATAGTCAACATTCTTAGAGAAATCTGATCACTTACTCAGCACGATGGGCTGGAAGTTCATCTATCTTCTTATCATCTTCTTTCTCCCTAGGATCTTTTAAAACGAAATCAACTAAAAGAAAATTTTAAAACTCTGATATATAAACTTACGTTAATTATAGTATATTTCCAAGCAATTGCAAAACTAGCTCTATTAAGATTAACTGTTTAAAGTTGTTTAGTAATGAGCAATTTGTGCATTTATGAACAGAAGAAAATTTTAAAAATCTTACAAGAAACTGTATCATGTCCGTGTCTTTGAGGATACAGTATATGTTCCCTTTCTTAACACAATGTGTCCCTCCCCTTTCATTTGAAAGGAATAATTGCTTTTAATATTATGTTTCCCTTATAGCTATTCCACCAAAAATATGCTTGTTGAATTGAACATCCACAATACAGGATAGTGGTAGTTCTATTTCACTGAGGAAAGTTACAAACAGTTGGCCCTCTGTATCTGCAGGTTCTACATCCATGGACTCAACCAACCATGAATTAAAAATATTCAGAAAAAACAATAACAGACAACAAAATAATACAAATAAAGATATACAGTATAACAACAATTTACATAGCATGTACGTTGTATGAGGTAGTATAAAAAATCTGGAGATGATTTAAAGTATATGGGAGGATATGAGGTTATATGCAAATACTGTGCCATTTTATATCAGAGACTTGAGCATCTGCAGATTTTGGTATCTGCTGGGGAGATGACTGTCTTGGAACCAATCTGCTGTGGATGCCAAGGGACAACAGTATTGCCTTGTTCTCTTTTAAATTGCATAAGAGCATAAAACAGTCCTGTTATAAAATCAATAAAGTAAGCTATCTTGCTTCTGTCTTCTATGGTCTTTAATTCACAATTAATTTTAATTCTTCTGCCAGTCTTTCAAGATGCTCTTTCTAAATTGCAAATTGCATGTATTACCCCCTTGCCTACAATCCTTCAGAGACTCTCCTTTACCTTCAAATGCTCTGAAAAGGCATATAAGACTCTTCAGATTCTGTCCTTTCCCCAAATGCACCCTATGCTTTGGCTTCAGAACTGCTTACAAGTCCAGAAGAGCCTCTCATGCATGTCGGTCATCGTTCACAGCATTTCCTAGGCCAAGCACATTCCCTACTAGACCGTTGTTCATCCTTCAAGACTTAGTTTAGGCTTCTCCAGAGTCCTTCCCAACAAGTCAGAGGTGACCTCTTCTCCCTACAGTTTTATCTTCTGTTTCTCTCCTCTTTGCACTTACTACTTTATCATTTAGTTATTTGTCTATCTCTCTCATTACACTATGAACTCTGAGGACAGGGATTAGGCTCTTTATTTTTATATCACCGGGATATTCCATAGGAGTTGTAAATACAGTGCATGTCCTCCACCAGGAAGGGTCCCCACATTACTCCAAAGCATTATTATTACTCTAACTTTGAACATAGCATCCATCATACTAGGTTTACCATCACAACCAACCTGAGAGCCTTTTATAAAAGTACAGATTCCAAGGCCCTGCCTCCAGGGATTTTAATTCAGGTGTGGCCAGAAGTCAGTATTTTAAAAATAGTTCTGACAGTCAGCCTTAGGATCTATTTGTACCATGGGTCAACAAATTTTTTATGTAAAGGGTTAGACTGTAAGTATTTTCGACTTTGTGAGCCACAAGGCCTATGTCACAAGTGTTAAATTTTGCTCTTGTAGCTCAGAAGCAACTGGATTTGTACATAACATGCAAATGAATTAGTGTGGCTATGTTTCCAAACTTTATTTATGAAAACAGGTAGTGGCCAGATGTGCCTGTGAGCTATAGTTTGCCAACCTTTGGTCTACTGCAAGAATTTTACATGAATTACATTCTAATTTATGACATCGGTAATATTAATGTTCATTGTTAATACTTACACTTGTAGGTAATAATTTAAATATGTCTAGTCTCATGCCTACACCAAAAGATCCTTCAATGAAGAGACCATCTTAAAGAAACAGACTATCTCCTAAATGTCTAATGCCTTGCATAAATTAGATGCTCAATAAATATATTAAGAGATTAAAATTAGTGCTTTATAATTTTCTTCAGTGCTGTCCTTTGTGGTGGGAATATATCCCTACAAATAGAATTATTTTTTTGTAATATTTCACTAATATAATTTGCCTAAGATCTTAAGTAATATAACAGCAATGTAAGAAATGGCATAATTATAATATTGTGAATAGTTTGAAGTATAGGTATTAATTTTTAATACAAAAATTATCTTTAATGAGACACATATTCAAATTAAAAATCAAAGAATAATACCAATTTACCTATGGATTTCTTTACACTAAGAAGATAATCTTCTCTCATTTCATCAGATAGTGTAACTATGCTGTCAGTGAAGACTTTCAGATGTTGTGGAACTAAATCCAGTACATGTTCTAGCCAAGAATCTTCCATTGGGGCTACGTGGTCTGTATCAATTCCGTGGTGAATATAATAGTAATATCTCTACAAAAAGAAGATAGGAAAAATGTTGATGTATAGAAAAAGCCTGTTTATCAAAAATAAAACTAAGCAAAATTCAAGTTTTAGGAGAACAAAGTATTTATAAAGCATAAAAAAGTATTTGGAGCAATTCACATAGGCATTATTTGAGATCTAAATGTTACAAATGTGGATTTTCATGAAAATTAAAACTCCTACCTCATTTTATAACTATACTCTAAAACATCAAGTTATATTACTAAATACATGATGTACACAACAGAGTCCATGCTGAATTAGTGTTTTGTAATTTTAAAAAAATGTGTTAGTTTTTGTCCTTTTATTATTATCAGAAGATCTTAAAAGCTATAAGCAAATCAGTATCCCTATATATTAATTCAAGAAATATTATACAATAGGATTTATGACATTCCAAATGGCCTAACAGTCCATACTGTAATTTTATAGCTGCTATTGTACATGTTCATATTCATTTTAAAACCAGTTATTTCTAGAATAATGAATATTTAACTTCAATATATGTTCATGAATTTTTACATGTTACTTATTAGAAAAAATTTAAATGTCAAAATACTTTTGAATTAGCAGGTTAAAAGTCTTTGATATTTACATTTTAAAAAATTCTTCTGCATTTGAAATACTTGAAGAATTACTATTTCTAAAGTAAGTTAATAGGCCCTGTAAAATATACATTATATAAGACAATTTCTCATAAAAAATTAAGGCATGTAAAGCTATAAATGACTGAACCTGGCTTCAATATGTAGAGCAAGTAGATTTGAAATTTTTTTAAATTGTGGTCCTAGGTGGCAAGGGAGAGAATGATTTCTTCTATAAATCCCATAAAGCTTTTTCACAGAACTCTGTACTTATTCCTATGTCCACAGAGTTTCACAAAGGAGGTGCACAGAGTGACTTCAAAAGTATAAAATTATCTTCAAGCATTTCTCTCATTTTCAATTATACTGACAAAAGAAATGGCCTGTTACCAAGATGTCTTTCTCTACAGCAGAAGTGGTCGGTTTTGGAATTATGCTTCCATCAGGGACAGCTGAGTCTAAGTCAGTATCTTGTTGCCTAACAAAATGATAAACATACTATTCAAAAATAGATAAGGGGCAGTTAAAACATAAAATAATCAATATAAGAAAACCAGGACTATTTTCTATTAAATCATAAGGAAAAATGAATTGTTGAACATTTCAAAAATAGTATACATATTTGTTTGGTACGATATTCCTCCCCAAATACTTTACTCATTCAGACAATCATATTGGAAGTTATTTGGAAGACCTAATTCAGAAATCACGCCCTTCTTGATGGCCTTTACTTATTCTTCCTCATTACTTAAGAATCAAGCTCTCTCTTCTTTGAACTTATAAAGGAACACTCTTGCAATATTCCTAAAATTTGTATGGCTATTTTTAAATATGAGTTTTAAAAAGAGCACTGATGGAAAGTACTTTGAACACAATTTTGCAGAAGACAGACACATTCTTCAAAAGGCCGTTTCTCAGATTTCTACAGACATACAAGTTAACAATCAGTGACACACAAGTTCTTATGTGCTTATGTATTTATTATTGGGTATGTGTTTATATAATACCATAGTGCTTGTAACTATAATTCAATTCAAAATCTATGCCAAATATGAGCCACATTTTGTGACACGTTCTGGGGCTACACTGGGCAGAAAGGCATAGTTCACCTCTTCAGAAACATAAGTTGTTCTGAAATAGCTTTAACCTCTTTATAACTGACTGTATCATCCTCTTCATCTGGATCCCAACTTCATCTGGGAGAGATACAGGTCAGTGATGCTGTATAATTAAATACACCTTCCCACTAACTGCCCAGGGAGGGGAGGCTGGAGCTTTAGTGAGTATATCTGAGATACCAAACCAAAGTGGGTGCACAGAACAGATCTTCTAACTCATTTATCTTTTGCAAATCCAGGAATCCAGTGTTTTGTGAACTTTATACACATTATTTTCAATTATATGGACAAGATAAAAGAGTCAAGACTTTGGGTAATGTCTCAGTTTAATTTAATATATAGCTAGTGCTCAATAAATGTTTGTTAAGTGAGGGAATGCAAGTATGAAAGCAGTAGAAATCCTCGAGGTATTTAGTACATGGAGAGAAAAAAATTGATTTGTCTAACTACAAATGTAATCTTACATTGTTGACTGTACAGAAAGGAAGTAACATATTTCAGGAGTTACTCAGGAGTAATGTATTTCAGGAATCAGGAAATCTGGGTTCAGATTCTGCCACTATAAAGCACATGACCTCAGTAACTATTCTTTGTTTAATAGCAGAAATCCTCATCTTCCCTACCGTGCTGAATTCTAAGAGCCAAACAAACCTCATTCTCTGTGTGAGTAACACCTGCCTAGAAAGACACAGCAAGGCAAGGGTAGGCGAGGAGGTAAAAGAAATGGCTGTAGAAGTTCTTCTCATCAGAATGAAGATCCTTTCAGCTCAAAAACTCTATGATTCTATCATTCTAGGGCCAGTAGCAAACATTCTCCTCACTGAGAACAATAATAATTGCAGCTTTTTATTGATTACCTACTTAGGCCTTCAACAGTTTCACATATATTATAATCCTTACACCTATTGCTAGAAGACAACAACATAATTACCCCCATTTCACAAATGAAGAAACTGAACATCAGAGAAGTTAAATAACTTCCCCTTGGTCATACAGCTAATTAACTATGAAAGAAAGAATTTGCCCATAAATATGTACTTCCAAATAGCCATGTTTATTCCATTCATAAATAATCAATATAGAAGGCATGAGGTCTGGGTAAAGAGAAAACATGACATACTTTATTTCTCAAAAATGGAAAGAACTATATTGATTTTTTTCTCTTTATAAAATCAGTAGAGGCTTTTGGTTCAAGACGGTGACATGAACCTCCCTTTTCAAAATTGCCCTGAAAAAATCATAATAAAATAATTGTAACCCATTAATTATGAAGAAACTAGAAGAAAAGTCGTTAGCTAGGGAGATATTTCACAAATTTCTGGAACCTGAAAAGGAGAGTCTATTAGTCCATTTTCAACTGTTGATAAAGACATACCTGAGATTGGGCAATTTACAAAAGCAAAAGGTTTAATGGACTTACAATTCCAAGTGGCTAGAGAGGCCTCAAAATCATGGCAGAAAGCGAAAGTCACTTCTTACATGATAGCAAAAAGAGAGAGAAATGTGAGCCAAGTAAAAGGGGTTTCCCCTTATCAAACCATCCGATCCCATGACACTTATTCACTATCATGAGAACAATATGGGAGAAACCGTCCCCATGATTCAATTATCTTCCACCAATTCCCTCCTACAACACGTGGGAATTATGAGAGTACAATTCAAGATGAGATTTGGGTGGGGACACAGAGCAAAACCATATCATTCTGCCCCGGCCCTCCAAATCTCATGTCCTCACATTTCGCAACCAATTATACCTTCCCAACAGTTCCCCAAATTCTTAACTCATTTCAGCATTAACCCAAAAGTCCACAGTCCAAAGTCTCATCTGAAACAAGGCAAGTCCCTTCCATCTATAAGCCTGTAAAATCAAAAGCAAGCTAGTTACTTCCTATATACAAAGGGGGTACAGGTATTAGGTAAATATAGCCATTCCAAATGGGAGAAAGTGGCCAAGACAAAGTGGTCACAGAGCCCATGCAAGTCCAAAAGCCAGCAGGGCAGTAAAATTTTAAAGCTCCAAAATGATGTCCTTTAACTCCAGGTCTCACATCCAGGTCACACTGATGTAAGAGGTGATCCCATGGTCTTAGGCAGCTCTGCCCCTGTGGCTTTGCAGCGTATAGCCTTCCTCCCAGCTGCTTTCATGGGCTGACATTGTCTGTGGTTTTCCAGGCAAACGATGCAAGCTGTCAGTGGATCTACCATTCTAGGGTCTAGAGGATGGTGGCCCTCTTCTCACAGCTCCACTAGGCAGTGCCCCAGTAGGGACTTTGTGTGGGGGCTCTGAGCCCATATTTCCCTTCTGCACTACCCTAGCAGAGGTTTTCCATGAGTGCCCAACCTTTGCAAGAAACTTTTGCCTGGGCATCCAGGCATTTCCATACATCCTCTGAAATCTAGGTGAAGGTTCCCAAAGCTCAATGCTTGAATTCTGTGCATCTGCAGGCTCAACATCACATGGAAACTGCCAAGGTTTGAGACTTGCACCCTCTGAAGCCACAGCCCAAGCTCCACATTGGCCCCTTTCAACCAAAGCTGGAGCAGCTGGGACACAAGAGTACCAAGTCCCTAGGCTGCACACAGTATGGGGACCCTAGGCCTGGCCTATAAAACTATTTTCTCCTAGGCCTCTGGGCCTGTGATGGAAGGTGCTGCCATGAAGACCTCTGACATGCCCTGGAGACATTTTTCCCATTGTTTCAGGGATTACCATTTGGTTCCTCATTACTTATGCAAACTTCTGCAGCTGGCTTTAATTTCTCCTCCAAAAATAAGACTTTTTTTTCTAACATACTGTCAGGCTGTAAATTTTTATGCAATGTGTCCCTTATGAAAATGAAAGCCTTTAGCAGTACCCAAGCCATCTCTTGAATGCTTTGCTGCCTGGAAATTTATTCCACCAGATAACCTAAATCATCTCTCTCAAGTTCAAAGTTCCACAAATCCCTAGGACAGCGGCAAAATGCCACCAGTCTCTTTCCTAAAACATAAGAATCACCTTTGCTCCAGTTACCAACAAGTTCCTTATCTCCATCTGACACCACCTCAGCCTTATTATCCATATCACTATCAGGTTTTTGGTCCAAGCCATTGAACAAATCTCTAGGAAGTTTCAAACTTTCCCACATTTTCCTGTCTTCTTCTGAGCCCCCAAACTGTTCCAACCTCTGCCTTTTACCCAGTTTCAAAGTTACCTCCACATTTTCAGGTATCTTTTCATCAGTGCCCACTCTACTGGTATCAATTTACTGTATTAGATCACTGTCGTGCTGCTGATAAAGACAAACCAGAAACTGGGCAATTTACAAAAGAAAGAGGCTTAATGGAACTTACAGTTCCATGTGGTTAGGGAGGCCTCACAATCATGGCAGAAGGCAAAAGGCACTTCTTACATGGTGGTGGCCAGGGAGATATGAGAGCCAAGCGAAATGGATTTCCCCTTATCAACCCATCAGATCTCAGGAACAATTCATTACCTCAAGAACAGTATGGGAGAAACCACCCCCATGATTCAATTATTTCCCACCAGGTCCCTCCCACAACAAGTGGGAATTATGGGAGTACAATTCAAGATGAGATCTGGGTGGGGACACGGAGCAAAACCGTATCAGAGAGGACAGATGAAATAGAGTTCAAAACACCACAACCCAAACTCATACAGGAAGGAAAGCAATCTGCCTGGGAGTCCACTAGAAAAGGCTCTGGTCTCAGGGTTGGCAGATACCAAAGGAGAGAATGAGGAGAAAGTCTGAAAACAAGGTTATCTGAATAGCTTTCTGCAAACAAATTACATAAAAAGAATACATTCTCAAAAGGCAAAAAAGGACAGAATGTGACCCAATAAACAACAGAAAATATGAATAGATCTGAATTAAGTACACTAATTGAATTAGTAATTAATAATTTTCCTACCAAGAAAAGTTCAATTACAGATGACTACACTAATGAATTCAATCAAACAAGGAAATAATACCAATTCTAAACAAACTCTTTCAGAAAACAAAAGAGATAAAAACACTTCTCAACAATTTTTATGAACCCATTAGTGGCCTGATATCAAAGCCAGACAATGATATAACAAGAAAACTACAGAGCCATATCGTTCATGAATATAAACTGAAAAAAATTCCTAACAAAATACTAACAAACCAAATCCAGAAACATAACAAAGGGATTACACACAATGACCAAGAGGAATGCAAGGTTGTACTAATTGTAAAAACCAAATAATGTAATATATCATATTAATAGCATAAAGGACAAAAACTAAATGATCACCTCAATAGACACAGAAAAAGCAACTGACAAAAATCCAGGATTCATTCATGATAAAATCTCTCAACAAATTGGGAAAGAAAAGGAACACCTTCAACTTGATAAAAGATACTTTCTATTTCCTTTACATATTTATTGAGCCCATGTTGTTTTTTCTTCTTTTCATTATTTAATATGTAATTTAACTGTAAATTGACTATTTGTAGTTGTATATGTTTATAAAGTAAAAAGTTATGATTTATGAATACAATGTGGAATGATTAAAGCTAATGAACATATCCATCAAATCAAATACTTATCATTTTGTGTGGAGAACATATGAAATTTACTCAAAGCCACAGGGAAGTTCAAACAGGGCAGAGCCCATCTCAGCTCAGCAAGACCACTGAGGTCAGTCTGCCTCTCCTCTCTGGGCAGGGCATATCAGAAAAAAAACGGCAGCAGCCCCAGCTGTTTTTACAATTTCCATCTCTGTGGAACATAGCATCTGGGGGAAGGGGCAGTTGTGGGCACAGCTTCAGCAAATTTAAATGTCCCTGACTGACAGCTGTGAAAAGAGCAGTGGATCCTCCCAACACAATGTTCCAGCTCTGATAAGAGACAGACTGCCTCCTCAAATGGGTCCCTGATCCCCATGTATCCTGATTGGGAGATACCTCCCAGTAGGGGCCAACAGACACCTCATATGAGAGGGCTCTGGCTGGCATCTGGCAGCTGCCTCTCTATGATGATGCTTCCAGAGGAAGGAACAGGTAGCAATCTTTGCTCTTCTGCAGCCTCTGCTGTTGATACCCAGGCAAACGGGGTCTGGAGTGGACCTCCAGCAAACTCCAACAGACCTACAGCAGAGGAGCCTGACTGTCAGAAGAAAACAAACAAACAGAAATAAATAGTATTAACATCAACAAAAAGGACATCCACTCAGAGACCCCATTCCAAAGGTCACCAACTTCAAAGATCAAAGGTAGGTAAATCCACAAAGATGGGGAGAAACCAGCACAAAAAACCTGAAAATTCCAAAAACCAGAATGCCTCTTCTCCAAAAAAAAAAAAAAAAAAAAATCACAACTCCTCACCAGCAAGAGAACAAAACTAGATGGACAATGAGTTTGATGAATTGACAGAAGCAGGCTTCAGAAGGTGGGTAATAACAAACTTCTCCAAGCTAAAGGAGCATGTTCTAACCCAATGCAAGGAAGCTAAGAACATTGAAAAAAGCTTACTGGAATTGCTAACTAGAATAACCAGTTTAGAGAAGAACATAAATGACCTGATGTGGCTGAAAAACAGTACAAGAACTTTGCGAAGCATACACAAGTTTCAATAGCTGAATCAATCAAGTCAAAGAAAGGATATTAGAGACTGAGATCAACTAAATGAAATAAAGGTAGAAGACGAGAAAAGAGAAAAGAGTGAAAAGAAACAAATAAAGCCTTCAAGAAATATGGACTATGTGAAAAGACAAAATCTACATTTGTTTCATGTACCTGAAAGCAATGGGGAGAATGGAACCAAGTTGGAAAACACTCCTCAGGATACTATCCAGGAGAACATCCCCTAACTTAGCAAGACAGGCCAACATTCAAATTGAGCAAATACAGAGAATATCACAAGGATACTCCTCAAGAAGACCAACCTGAAGACACATAATCATCAAATTAACCAAGGTTGAAATGAAGGAAAAAATGTTAAGGGCAGCCAGAAAGAAAGGTCAAGTTACCCACAAAGGGAAGCCCACAAGACTAACAGTAGATCCATGTGCAGAAACCCTACAAGCCAGAAGACAATGGGGTCAAATATACAACATTCTTAAAGAAAAGAATTTTCAACTCAGAATTTCATATCCAGCTAAACTAAGCTTCAAAAGTGAAGGAGAAATAAAATCCTTTACAGACAAGCAAATGCTGAGAGATTCTGTCACCATCAGGCCTGCCTTATAAAAACTCCTGAGGGAAGCACTAAACATGGAAAGGTACAACTGGTAACCAACCACTGCCAAAACATACAGATTGTAAAGACCATTAATGCTATGAAGAAAAGGATCAACTAATGGGCAAAATAATCAGCTAGCATCATAATGAAAGGATCAAATTCACACATAACAATATTAACTTTAAATGTAAACAGGCTAAATACCCCAATTAAAAGACACAGACTAGCAAGTTGGATAAAGAGTCAAGACCATTGGTGTGCTGTATTCAGGAGACCCGTCTCACATGGAAAGACATATATAGGCTCAAAATAAAGGAATGGAGGAATGTTTACCAAGCAAATGGAAAGTGAAAAACGAGCAGGACTTGCATTCCTAATCTCTGAAAAAACAGACTTTAAACCAACAAAGATCAAAAGTGACAAAGAAGGGCATTACATCATGGTAAAGAAATCAATGCAACAACAAGAGCTAATAATCCTAAATATATAGGCACCCAATACAGGAGCACCCAGATTCATAAAGCAAGTTCTTAGAGATCTACAAAGAGACTTCAACTCCCACACAATAATAGTGGGAGACTTTAACAATACTGTCAATATTAGACACATAAATGAGGCAGAAAATTAATAAGGATATCCAGGATCTGAACTCAGCTCTGGACCAAGCAGACCTAACAGATATCTAAAGAACCCTCCACCCCAAATCATCAGAATATACAGTCTTGTCGGCACCACATCACACTTAATCTAAAACTGACCACATAATTAGAAGTAAAACACTCCTCAACAAATGCAAAAAAAAATGGAAATCATAACAATCTCACAGAACACAGTGCAATCAAATTATAACTCAGGATTAAGAAACACACTCAAAACTGCAAAACCACATGGAAACTGAACAACCTGTTCCTCAATGACTACTGGGTAAATCATGAAATTAAGACAGGAATAAAGATGTTATTTGAAACCAATGAGAACAAAGGCACAATGTACCAGAATCTCTGGGATACATTTAAAACAGTGTGTAGAGGAAAATTTATAGCACTAAATGCCCACAAAAGAAAGCAGGAAAGATCTAAAACTGACAACCTAATATCACAATTTAAAAAACTAGAGAAGCTAGAGCAAAGGAATTCAAAAGCTAGCAGAAGACAAGAAATAACTAAGATCAGAGCAAAACCTAAGGAGACAGAGACACAGAAAACCCTTCAAAAAAATCAATTAATCCCAGAGCTGGTTTTTTTTTGGAAAGGATAAACAAAATAGACACACCACTAGCCAGATTAATAAAGAAGAGTCAAAGAGAAGCAATAAAAAATGATAGTTGGGATATCACCACCAATCCCACAGAAACACAAACTAACATTGGAGAAAACTATATATACCTCTACGTGAATTAACTAGAAAATCCAGAAGAAATGAATAAATTCCTGGACACACACACCCTCCCAAGACAAAACTAGGAAGAAGTCAAAACTGAACAGACCAATAACAATTTCTGAAATTAAGGCAGTAAATAGCATAACAACCCAAAAAAGACCAAGACCAGACAGAAACACAGCCAAATTCTACCAGAGGTACAAAGAGGAGCTTCAGTCCTCCTGAAACTATTCCAAACAATAGAAAAAGAGGGAATGTTCCCTAACTCATTTTCTAAAAATATATTTTATTGAACTTCATATTGTGGGGTACATGTGCAGAACATGCAGGTTTGTTGCACAGGTACACGGCAATGTGGTTTGCTGCCTCCATCCCTGTCACCTATATCTGGCATTTCTCCCCATGTTATCCCTCCGGAACTCCCTACTCCTCACTGTCCATCCCCTAGTCCCCCTCCAACAGACCACAGTGTGTGATGCTCCCCTCCCTGCATCCACGTGTTCTTATTGTTCAACACCTGCCTGTAAGTGAGAACATGTCGTGTTTGATTTTCTGTTATTGCGTCCGTTTGCTAAGAATGACGGTTTCCAGATTCATCCATGTCACTACAAAGGACATGAACTCATCATTTTTTATGGCTGCATAGTATTCCATGGTATATATGTGCCACATTTTCCTTGTCAAGTCTATCATCCATGGGCATTTGGGTTGGATCCAGGTCTTTGCTATTGTAAATAGTGCCATAATGAACATACCTGGAGTGTGTATTTATAATAGAATGATTTATAGTCCATTGGATATATATCCAGTAATGGGATTGCTGGGTCAAATAGAATTTCTATTTCTAGGTCCTTGAGGAATCACCTCAAGGACAAATTGGTTGAACTAATTTACACTCCCACCGACAGTGTAAAAGTGTTTGTTTTTTTTTTTTTTTTTTTTTTTGAGATGGAGTTTCACTCTCGTTACCCAGGCTGGAGTGCAATGGCACAATCTCGGCTCATAGCAACCTCCGCCTCCTGGGTTCAGGCAATTCTCCTGCCTCAGCCTCCTGAGTAGCTGGGATTATAGGCATGCACCACCATGCCCAGCTAATTTTTTGTATTTTTAGTAAAGACAGGGTTTCACCATGTTGACCAGGATGGTCTCGATCTCTTGACCTCATGATCCACCCACCTCGGCCTCCCAAAGTGCTGGGATTACAGGCGTGAGCCACCACGCCCAGCCCAAAAGTGTACTTATTTCTCCACATCCTCTTCAGCATCTGTTGTGTCTAGATTTTTTAATAATCGCCATTCTAACTGGCACGAGATGGTATCTCAAGGTGGTTTTGATTCACATTTCTCTAATGACCAGTGATGATGAGCATTTCTTAATATGTTTGTTCGCCTCACATATGTCTACTTTTAAAAAGTGTCTGTTCATATCATTCACCCACTTTTGAATGGGTTTGTTTTCCTCTTGTAAATCTGTTTTAGTTCTTTGTAGATTCTGGATATTAACCCTTTGTCAGATGGGTAGATTGCAAACATTTTTTCCCATTCTATTGTTGCCAGTTCACTCTAATGATAGTTACTTTTGCTGTGCAGAAGCTCTGGAGTTTAATTAGATCCCGTTTGTCTATTTTGGCTTTTGTTGTCAATGCTTTTGGTGTTTTAGTCATGAGGTCCTTACCTATGCCTATGTCCTGAATGGTTTTGCCTAGGTTTTCTTCTAGGATTTTTATGGTGTTAGGTCTTATGTTTAAGTCTTTAATCTATCTGGAGTTAATTTTAGTGTAAGGTATCAGGAAGGGGTCCAGTTTCTGCTTTCTGCAAACTGCTAGCCAGTTTTCCCAACACCATTTATTAAACAGGGAATCTTTCCACATTGCTCTTGTCAGGTTTGTCAAAGAGCAGATGGTTGTGGATGTGTGGTGTTGCCTCCAAGGCCTCTGTTCTGTTCCATTGGTCTATATCTCTGTTTTGGTACCAGTACCATGCTGCTTTGATTACTGTAGCCTTGTAGCATAGTTCAAAGTCAGGTAGCCTGATGCCTCCAGGTTTGTTCTTTTTACTTAGAATTGACCTGGCTATGCAGGCTCTCTTTTGGTTCCATAAGAAGTTTAAGATGGTCTTTTCCAGTTCTGTAAAGAGGGTCATAGGTAGCTTGATGGGGATAGCGTTGGATCTATACATTAGTTCAGGCAGTATGGCCATTTTCACAATATTGTTTCTTCCTAACCATGAGCATGAATTGTTTGTTCATCTGTTTGTGTCCTCTATTTCCTTGAGCAGTGGTTTGCAGTTCTCCTTGAAGAGGTCCTTTACATCCTTTGTTAGTTGTATTCCTAGGTATTTTATTCTCTTTGTAGCAATTGTGAATGGGAGTTTGCTCATGAGTTGGCTCTCTTTAAGTCTGTTATTGGTGTATAGGAATGCTTCTGGTTTCTGCACATTGATTTTGTATCCTGAGACTTTGCTCAAGTTGCTTATCAGTTTCAGGAGATTCGGGGCCAAGATGATAGGGTCTTCCAAATATACAATCATGTCATCTGCAAATAGAGACGATTTGACTTCCTCCTTTCCTAACTGAATACCCTTTATTTCTTTTTCTTGCCTGATTGCTCTGGCTAGAACTTCCAATACTATATTGAATAGGAGTGGTGAGAGAGGGCATCCTTGTCTAGTGCCAGATTTCAAAGGGAATGCTTCCAGTTTTTGCCCATTCAGTATGATATTGGCTGTGGGTTTGTTGTAAATAGCTTTTATTATTTTGAGATACACTCTGTTGACACCTAGTTTATTGAGAGTTTTTAGCATAAAGGGCTGTTGAATTCTGTCAAAGACCTTCTCTGCATCTATTGAGATAATCATGTGGTTTTTTTCTTTGGTTCTGTTTGTGTGATGGATTACATTTATAGACTTGCATATGTTCAACCAGCCTTACTTCCCTGGGATGAAACCTGCTTGATTGTGATGGATAAGCTTTTTGATGTGCTGTTGCAATCTGTTTGCCAGTATTTTATTGAAGGTTTTTGTATCAATGTTCATCGTGCATATTGGCCTGAAGTTTTATTTTCTTGTTGAGTCTCTGCCGGGTTTTGGTATCAGGATGATGTTGGTCTTATAAAATGATTTGGGAAGCATTCCCTCTTTTTGGATTATTTGGAATAATTTCAGAAGGAGTGGTACCACCTTCTCTTTGTATGTCTTGTCGAATTTGGCTGTAAACCCATCTGGACGTGGGCTTTTTTTTGGTTGGTAGGCTATTAATTGCTGCCTCAACTTCAGCCCTTGTTATTGGTCTATTCGGGGCTTTGACTTCTTCCTGGTTTAGGCTTGGAAGCGTGCAAGTGTCTAGGAATTTATCCATTTCTTCCAGTTTTACTGGTGTATGTGCATAGAGTTGTTTGTAGTAATCTCTGATGGTAGTTTGTATTTCCGTGGAATCTGTGGTGATATCCCATTTATCATTTTTTATTGCATCTATTTGATTCTTCTCTCTTTTTTTTATTAATCTGGTTAGTGGTCTATCTATTTTGTTAATATTTTCAAAAAATTAGCTCCAGGATTTACTGATTTTTTGAAGGGTTTTTTGTGTCTCTATCTCCTTCAGTTCTACTCTGATCTTAGTTATTTCTTATCTTCTGCTAGCTTTTGAGTTTTTTTTTATCTTGGTCTTCCCCCCACAGGCCTGGACTTTCCTGGGTCCAGCTGTGCTTGCTATGAAACTCTCAATCCAGAGCATTTCAGATTGCTGGTCTTTGTTGGGGTGGGACCTGCTGAGCCACATCACCTGGCTCCCTGTTTCAGCCCCCTTTTTTTCAGTTGAATGGGTGACTCTGTCTCCCAGGTATTCCATGCACCAGTTGAAATGGCCACACAAATTTGCGTGAATTTTTGTGCAGAGACCCACTGTGCCAGTTGAAACAGCCATGCTGGAGTCTTGTCGTACTTTTCTGCTCAGGAATCTCCTGGTCTGTGGGCAGTAAAAACTTGTCTGGAAATGCAGTGATCACTCACCCTCTGCGTTCTCACTGGGAACTGCCCTCCAGAGCTGTTCATATTCAGCCATCTTGGAGCTCCTAACTCATTTTATGAGGCCAGCATTACCCTGATACCAAAACCTGGCAGAGGCACGACTGAAAAAGAAAATTTCAGGCCAATATCCCTGATGAACACTGATGCAAAAACCCTTAATTAAATACTGCTAAACCAAATCCAGGAGCATATGAAAAAGTTTACCCACAACGATCAAGTCAGCTTCATCCCTGGGATGCAAGGCTGGTTCAACATACACAGATCAATAAATGAAATCCATCATATAAACAGAACCAAAGACAAAAACCACATGATTGTCTCTATGGACGCAGAGAAAGCCTTTGACAAAATTTGACAGCTCTTCATGCTAAAAACTCTCAAGAAACTAGGTATTGATATAAAATATCTCAAAATAATAAGAGCTATTTATAACAAACCCACAGCCAATATCATACTGAATGGGCAAAAGATGGAAGCATTCCTTTTGAAAACTGGCAGAGGACAAGGATGCCCTCTCTCACAATTCATATTCAACACAGTATTGGAAGTTCCGGCCAGGGCAATCAGGAAGATAAAGAAATAAATGGTATTCAGTTAGGAAAAGAAGAAGTCAAATTGTCTGTTTGCAGATGGCATGATAGTATATTTAAACACCCCATCGTCTTAGCCTAAAATCTCCTTAAGCTGACAAGCAACTTCAGCAAAGTCTCCAGATAGAAAATCAAAATGCAAAAATCACAAGCATTCGCATACACCAATAACAAACAGAGAGACAAATCATAAGTAAACTCCCATTCACAACTGCTACAAAGAATAAAATACCTAGGAATACAACTAACAAGGGATATGAAGACCTCTTCAAGGAGAACTACAAACCACTGCTCAGGGAAATAAGAGAGGACACAAACATGTGGAAAAACATTCCATGCTCATGGATAGGAAGGATCAATATCGTGAAAATGACCACATTGCCCAAAGTAATTTACAGATCCAATGCTAAACCCATCAAGCTACTATTGACTTTCTTCACAGAATTGGAAAAACTACTTTAAATTTCATATGGAACCAAAAAAAAAGCCTGCATAGCCAAGACAATCCTAAGCAAAAAGAACAAAGCTGGAGGCATCATGCTACCCGACTTCAAACTACACTACAAGGCTACAGTAATCACAACAGCATGATACTCATACCAAAACAGATATATAGACCAATGGAACAGAACAGAGGCCTCAGAAATAATATCACACATCTATAACCATCTGATCTTTAACAAACCTGACAAAAATAAGCAATGGGGAAAGCATTTCCTATTTAATAAAAGGTGTTGGAAAAACTGGCTAGCCACATGCAGAAAGCTGAAAATGAATCCCTTCTTTACACCTTATACAAAAATTAACTCAAGATGGATTAAAGACTTAAATGTAAGACACAAAACCATAAAAATCCTAGAAGAAAACCAAAGCAGTATCATTCAGTACATTGGCATGGGCAAAGACTTCATAACTAAAATACCAAAACCATTGGCAACAAAAGCCAAAATAGACAAACGGGATCTAATTAAACTAAAGAACTTCTGCACAACAAAAGAAATTACCATCAGAGTGGAAAGGCAACCTATAGAATGGGAGAAAATTTTTGCAATCTACCCATCTGACAAAGGGCTAATATCCAGAATCTACTAAGAACTAAAACAGATATACAAGAAAAAAACAAACAAACCCATTCAAAAGTGGGTAAAGGATATGAACAGACACTTTTCAAAAGACATATATATATGAGGACACAAACATACATAAAAACGCTCATCATCACTGCTCATTAAAAAATGCAAATCAAAACCACATTGAAATACCATCTCATGCCTGTTAGAATGGTGATCATTAAAAAATCTGAAGACAACACATGCTGAAGAGGATATGGAGAAATAGGAACACTTTTACGCTGTTGATAGAAGTGTAAATTAGTTCAACCATTGTGAAAGACGGTGTGGCAAGTCCTGAAGAAATACGATTTGACCCAGCAATCCCATTACTGGGTATATACCCAAAGGATTATAAATCATTCTAATATAAAGACACATGCGATGATGGCCGAATAGGAATAGCTCTGGATTGCAGTTCCCAGCGAAAATGCAGAGAGTGAGTGATCACTGCATTTCCAAATGAATTTTTACTGCCCACAGACTAGGATATTCCCTGGCAGAAAAGTGCCACAAGTCTCCAGCATGCCTGTTTCAGCCAGCGCAACTGGACTCTGCACAAAAACTCACACAAATCCGGGTGCCATTTAAACTGGTGACTGGAACACCTAGAAGAGAGAGTCGCCCATTCAGCTGAAAAAAAGTGGGCTCAAACAGGGAGCCAGATGATCTGGCTTGGCTGGTCCCACCCCACAAAGACCAGCAATGTGAAACACTCTGAATTGAGAGTTTCATAGCAAGCACAGCTGGACCCAGGACTGTCCAGCTCTGTTGGGGAAAGGGCGTCTGCCATAACCGAGGCAGTCTGCCGTTACTGAGGCAGTTCTAACTATACCCCTATAAACAAAACCACAAGGAAGTTCACATAACAACTGGGCAGAGCCCATGGCAGCTGAGCAACACCTCTGCTGGCAGATTGTGACTAGGCTACCTCCTCGCTGGGCAGGGCATCTCTGAAAAAAGGCAGCAGAATGACAGGAACTTATAAATAAAACCCCACATTCCCAGGACAGAGCACATGGGAAAAAACGGTGGTTATGAGTTCCACTGCAGCAGACTTAAACGTACCTGCACAGCAGCTCTGAATGGAACAACAGAACTCACAGCTCAGCACTTGAGCTCCTATAAGGGACAGACTGTTGCCTCAAGCAGCTCCCCAAACCCCATATAACCAAAGAGACACCTTATAAAGGAGAGCTCAGGCTGTTACCTCATGGGTATCCTTCTGGGACAGACAACAGAAGAAGAAACTGGCAGCAACCCTTACTGTTCTGCAGCCCCTGCAGGTGATCCCCAGGCAAGGAGGGTCTGGAGTGGACCTCCAGCAGTCCTACAGCAGGAGGGCCTGACTGTTAGAAGGAAAACTAAAAAACAGAAAGAAATAACTTCATCAGCAACAAAAAGGATGTCAACTCAGAAACCCCATCTGAAAGTCACCAACCACAAAGACCACAGGTAGATAAATCCACAAAGATAGAAGAAACCAGTGCAAAAGGATGGAAATATCCAAAACTAGAACACTTCCCCTTCTCCAAGGAATCACAACTCCTCACCAGCAAGAAAACAAGGCTGGATGAAGAATGAGTCTGATGAATTGACAGAAACAGGCTTCAGAAGGTAGGTAATAACAAACTTCTCTGAGCTAAAAGATCATGTTTTAACCCAATGCAAAGAAACTAAGAACCTTAATAAAAGGTTTGATGAAATGCTAACAAGAATAAACAACTTAGAGAGAAATATAAATGAACTGATGGAGTTGAAAAACACAATACCAGAACTTCACAAAGTATACACAAGTTTCAATAGCTGAATCGACCAAGCAGAAGAAAGCATATCAGAGAATGAAGATAAACTCAGTGAAATAAAATGAGAAAGCAAGATTAGAGGAAAAAAAGAGTAAAAAGAAATGAACAAATCCTCCAAGAAATATGGGATTATGTGAAAAGACCTAATCTACGTTTGATAGGTGTACCTGAATGTGACAGAGACAACGAATCGAATCTGGAAAACATTCTTCAGGATATTATCCAGGAGAACTTCCCCAACCTAGAAAGGCAGGCCAATATTAAAAGTCCAGGAGATACAGAGAACATCACAAGATATTCCTTAAGAAGAGCAACCCGATGGGAAAGGGAAGCCCATCAGACTCAGCAGATCTCTCAGAAGAAACCCTATTAGCCAGAAGAGAGTGGGGGCCAATATTCAACATCCTTAAAGAAAAGAACCTTCAACCCAGAATTTCATATCTAGCCAAACTAAGCTTCATAAATGAAGGAGAAATAAAATCCTTTATGAACAAGAAATTGCTCAGGGATTTCATCACAACCAGGCCTGCTTTACAAGAGCTCCTAAAAGCACTAAACATTGAAAGGAAAAACCAGTACCAGCCACTCCAAAGACCTACCAAATGGTAAACAGCATCAACACAATGAAGAAACTGCATAAACTAATGGGCAAAACAACCAGCTAGCATCAAAATGCAGGATCAAATTCACACATAACAATATTAGCCCTAAATGTAAATGGACTAAATGCCCCAATCAAAAGACACAGACTGGCAAATTGGACTCAAAGTCAAAACTCATTGATGTGCTGTATCCAGGAAAACCATCTCACATGCAACAATACATATAGGCTCAAAATAAAGGGATGGAGGAAGATATACCAAGCAAATGGAGAGCAAAAAAAAGCAGTAGTTGCAATCCTAGTCTCTGATAAAGTAGACTTTAAACCAACAAAGATCAAAAGAGACAAAGAAGAGCATTACATAATGGTAAAAGGATCATTGCAACAAGAAGAGCTAACGAGCCTAAATATATATGTGCCCAAAACAGGAGCACCCAGATACAGAAAACAAGTTCTTAATGACATACAAAGAGACTTAGACTCCCACACAATAATAGTGGGAGACATTAACACTCCACTATCAATATTAGATAGATTGATGAGACAGAAAATTAAAAAGGATATCCAAAACTTGAACTCAGACCTGGACCAAGCAAACCTAATAGACATATACAGAACCCACCACCCCAAACCCACAGAATATACATTCTTCTCAGCACCACATGACACCTACTCTAAAATTGACCACATAATAGGAGTAAATCCCTCCTCAGCAAATGCAAAAGAATGGAAATCCTAACAGTCTCTCAAACCACAGGGCAATCAAATTAGAAGTCAAAATTCAGAAAATGTCTCAGAACCATACAATTTCATGGAAATTGAACAACTGGCTCTTGAATGTAGACTGGATAAACAATGAAATGAAGGCAGAAATAAAGATGCTATTCGAAACTGACAAGAACGAAGACACAACATACCAGAATCACTGGGACATATTTAAAGCAGTGTCTAGAGGAAAATTTACAGCAATAAATGCCTACATGAGAAGCAAGGAAACATCTAAAATCAACACCCTATCATCAAAATTGAAAGAGCTAGAGGAGCAAATGAAATAAACTCAAAAGCTAGAAGACAAGAAATAACTAACATCAGAGAAGAACTGAAGGAGATAGAGACACAAAAAACCCTTCAAAAAAATCAATAAATCCAGGAGCTGGTTTTTTGAAAAGATCAACAAAATAGACCACTAGCCAGATTAATAAAAAAGAAGAGAAAAGAATCAAATAGATGCAATAAAAAATGATAAATGGAATATCAGCACTGATTCCACGGAAATACAAACTACCATCAGAGATTACACAAACAACTCTATGCACATACACCAGTAAAACTGGAAGAAATGGATAAATTCCTAGACACTTGCACGCTCCCAAGCCTAAACCAGGAAGAAGTCAAAGCCCCGAATAGACCAATAACAAGGGCTGAAGTTGAGGCAGCAATTAATAGCCTACCAACCAAAAAAAAGCCCACGTCCAGATGGGTTTACAGCCAAATTCGACAAGACATACAAAGAGGAGGTGGTACCACTCCTTCGGAAACTATTCCAAAAAATCCATAAAGACGGAATGCTTCCCAAATCATTTTATAAGACCAATATCATCCTGATACCAAAACCCGGCAGAGACTCAACAAGAAAATAAAACTTCAGGCCAATATCCAAGATGAACATCAATGCAAAAGTCTTCAATAAAATACTGGCAAACAGATTGCAACAGCACATCAAAAAGCTTATCCATCACAATCAAGCAGGTTTCATCCCAGGGAAGTAAGGCTGGTTGAACATATGCAAGTCTATAAATGTAATCCATCACACAAACAGAACCAAAGAAAAAAACCACATGATTATCTCAATAGATGCAGAGAAGGTCTTTGACAGAATTCAACAGCCCTTTATGCTAAAAACTCTCAATAAACTAGGTGTCAACAGAGTGTATCTCAAAATAATAAAAGCTATTTACAACAAACCCACAGCCAATATCATACTGAATGGGCAAAAACTGGAAGCATTCCCTTTGAAATCTGGCACTAGACAAGGATGCCCTCTCTCACCACTCCTATTCAATATAGTATTGGAAGTTCTAGCCAGAGCAATCAGGCAAGAAAAAGAAATAAAGGGTATTCAGTTAGGAAAGGAGGAAGTCAAATCGTCTCTATTTGCAGATGACATGATTGTATATTTGGAAGACCCTATCATCTTGGCCCCGAATCTCCTGAAACTGATAAGCAACTTGAGCAAAGTCTCAGGATACAAAATCAATGTGCAGAAACCAGAAGCATTCCTATACACCAATAACAGACTTAAAGAGAGCCAACTCATGAGCAAACTCCCATTCACAATTGCTACAAAGAGAATAAAATACCTAGGAATACAACTAACAAAGGATGTAAAGGACCTCTTCAAGGAGAACTGCAAACCACTGCTCAAGGAAATAGAGGACACAAACAGATGAACAAACAATTCATGCTCATGGTTAGGAAGAAACAATATTGTGAAAATGGCCATACTGCCTGAACTAACGTATAGATCCAACGCTATCCCCATCAAGCTACCTATGACCCTCTTCACAGAACTGGAAAAGACCATCTTAAACTTCTTATGGAACCAAAAGAGAGCCTGCATAGCCAGGTCAATTCTAAGTAAAAAGAACAAACCTGGAGGCATCAGGCTACCTGACTTTGAACTATGCTACAAGGCTACAGTAATCAAAGCAGCATGGTACTGGTACCAAAACAGAGATATAGACCAATGGAACAGAACAGAGGCCTTGGAGGCAACACCACACATCCACAACCATCTGCTCTTTGACAAACCTGACAAGAGCAATGTGGAAAGATTCCCTGTTTAATAAATGGTGTTGGGAAAACTGGCTAGCAGTTTGCAGAAAGCAGAAATATTGTGAAAATGGCCATACTGCCTAAAGTAATTTATAGACTCAATGCTATCCCCATCAAGCTACCAATGACCTTCTTCACAGAACTGGGAAAAAAACACCTTAAATTTCATATGTAACCAAAAAAACAGACTACATAGCCAAGACAATCCTAAGCAAAAAGAACAAAGCTAGAGGCATCAGGCTACCTGACTTCAAACTATACTACAAGGTTACAGTAATCAAAACAGCATGGTACTGGTACCAAAACAGAGATATACACCAATGGAAAAGAACAGAGGCTTCAGAAGCAATGCCACACATCTACAGTCATCTGATTTTTGACAAACCTGACAAAAACAAACAATGGGGAAAATATTCCCTGTTTAATAAATTGTGTTGGGAAAACTGGCTAGCCATGTGCAGAAAGCAGAAACTGTACCCCTTCCTGACATCTAACACTAAAATTAACTCCAGGTGGATTAGACTTAAACATAAGACATAACACCATAAAAACCCTAGAAGAAACCTAGACAAAACCATTCAGGACATAGGCATAGGCAAGGACTTCATGACTAAAACACAAAAAGCATTGGCAACAAAAGCCAAAATAGACAAATAGGATCCAATTAAACTCCAGAGCTTCTGGACATGCAAAAGAAACAATCATTAGAATGAACTGGCAACGAACAGAGTGGGGAAAAAAATTTTGCAATCTACCCATCTGACAAAGGACTTATTTCCGAAATCTACAAAGAACTAAAACAGATTTACAAGAAGAAAACAAACCCATTCATAAGTGGGCAAAGGATATGAACAGACACTTTTTCAAAAGAAGGCATATATGAGACTAACAAACATATGAAAAAATGCTCATCATCACTGGTCATTAGAGAAATGCAAATCAAAACTACATTGAGGTGCTATCTCACGCCAGTTAGAATGGCGATCATTAAAACATCTGGAGACAACAGATGCTGGAGAGGATGTGAAGAAATAGGAACACTTTTATATTGTGGGTGGGAGCGTAAATTAGTTCAACCATTGTGGAAGACAGTGTGATGATTCCTCAAGGACCTAGAAATAGAAATTCCATTTGACCCAGCAATCCCATTACTGGGTATATATCCAAAGGATTATAAATTGTTCTATTCTAAGGACACATGCACATGTATGTTAACTGCAACACTGTTTACAATAGCAAAGACTTGGAACCAACCCAAATGCCCATCAATGATAGACTGGACAGGGAAAATATGGCACATATACACCATGGAATACTATGCAGCCATAAAAAATGATGAGTCCGTGTCATTTGTAAGAACATGGATGAATCTGGAAACCATCATTCTCAATAAACACACAGCAACAGAAAATCAAACACCACATGTTCTCATTCATAGGCGGGTGTTGAACAATTAAAACACATGGACACAGGGAGGGGAGCATCACACACTGAGGTCTGTGTGTGATGGGGGGCAGGTAGTGGGGGGTAGGGAGTTGGGGAGGGATAACATGGGGAGAAATGGCAGATATAGGTGACTGGGATGGAGGCAGCAAACCACATTGCCATGTATGTACCTATGCAACAATCCTGCATGTTCTTCCCAGACCTAAAATGCAATACACACACACAAACACATACACACACACATATAAAAAGACACATGCACATGCATGTTTATTGCAGCACTATTCAACAATAGCAAAGACTTGGAACCAACCCAAATACCCATCAATGACAGATTAGATAAAGAAAATGCGACACATATATACCATGGAAAACTATGTAGCCATAAAAAAGGATGAGTTATTGTCCTTTGCAAGGACATGGATTAAGCTGGAAACCATCATTCTCAGCAAAGTAACACAGGAACAGAAAAACCAAACACCACATGTTCTCACTCATAAGTGGGAGTAGAACAACGAGAACATATAGACACAGGGAGGTGGGAGGGGCTAGAGGAGGGTATTAGGAGAAATACCTAACGTAGATAACAGGTTGACGGGTACAGCAAACCACCATGGCACACATACACCTATGCAACAAACCTGCATGTTCTGTACATGTACCCCAGAACTTAAAGTCTAATAGAAAAATGAAAAAAAAAATGAAGTTGAAATGGATTATCCATGTAAATATAAGAGTTAAAACTATTTTTAAAAACCTAGGCCAGTCACAGTGGCTCACATTTGTAATCCCAGCACTTTGGGAGGCCAAGACAGGTGGATCACCTGAGGTCAGGAGTTCAAGACCGGCCTGGCCAACATGGTGAAACCCCATCTGTACTAAAAATACAAATGTTAGCCAGTCATGGTGGTGCACGCTTGTAATTCCAGCTACTTGGGAGGCTAAGGTTGGAGAATCACTTGAATCCAGGAAGTGGTGGTTGCAGTGAGCTGAGATCACGCTACTGCACTCCAGCCTGGTGACAGACCAAGACTCAATCTCAAAAAAAAAAAAAAAAAAAAAAAAAAAAAAAAAAAAAAAAACTATAAGGCTTTCAGGAGAAAATGTAGGAGGAAATCTTTGAGAATCTGTATTAGGAAAAGACTATTACATGACTCCAAAAAGTATGAACAACAAAAGGAAAATTGATCAATTATATTTTAACAAAATTTAAAACCTTTTCTTTTCAAAAGATATTGGCATAACCTGCAACCATTGTTGCATCAGCTTCTGGTGTATTAAGTCTGGTAAGTCTTTGCACCTCCTCTAAGGCACTTGGATTTGTTGGAGGAAGAAAACTGAATGAACAAAAGAGAAGAGAAGATGACAGAAAACTGTCACGTTTACTGCCAAACTGCTCTCAAGGATGGTATAAAGTAGCTGAAGAGAGGAGCCCAGTGCCTGTCTTCTCTATGAAGATGGACCAAAACAGCAACTACATAAACACACATCAAACAGCATCTAGGGGCAAACACTGGAATCCAGCAGAGAAAAAGCAAGGATTCTCTGAGGCATGGAAAGCTCAAGATGGCAATGTAGAGAGGAAAGTGGGGCAGTAGGCCAGTTCAGCCCAGAGCCAGTAGGAATGCTCCATTGCTGGAAAAATCTAAGTGAGAGATTTCCTAGCTGTCCATATTTCCAGTGAAGAAGCCTGCAGTCCTAGATACAGAAAAGCCTGTTGGCTCTGAGGATTCCTGAGCCTAGTATAGGGTGCTTCACGGAACACCCACAACTGCATTGTTCCAGAGAGATAACTCATGCTAAATCCCACTTCTGGAACCCAAGCTGCCATAGCACTGCACCATTTTGAGAGCAGAGCCAATACAGGATTACACCTTGCCCAGGGTACAATAGTATCTGCATCTCGACATTCTGTTTTTGTTTTTGTTTTTGTTTTTGAGATGGAGTTTCACTCTTGTTGTCCAGGCTAGAATGCAATGGCATGATTTTGGCTCACTGAAATCTCTGCCTCCCGAGTTCAAGTAATTCTCCTGCCTCAGCCTCCCAAGTACCTGGAATTACAGGAAATTGCCACCATGCTCAGCCTATTTTTTTGTATTTTTAGTAGAGATGGGGTTTTACCAAGTTGGCCAGGCTGGTCTTGAAATCCTGACCTCAGGTGATCCACCTGCCTCAGCCGCCCCAAGTGCTAGGATTACAGGCGTGAACCACTGTGCCTGGCCTCCACATTCTAAAGACCCCACAACAATCCCCTACATCCACCCACAGAACTACAGTAGCATAGCACTGGCTGAACCCAGTGGTACAGCCACATCACCAGCACCCAAGTTCATGCAGTGTCCACTATCCAGGAAATAGGCAGTCCAGCACATTAAGGAGGCTTCCCCCAAGGTACAGGGAACAAAGTGTGTACCCCAGAGCCTAAGAGCAGTCCACCTGGGACCACTGCCACCAACAATGACATTGCCCCATCATCAGCAAGGCCACTGTGTGTCCCACCTGCAGGTCCAGGGACCAGCCTTCCCACCCTACTGCAGACACTACCAGTGCCCACCTGCCCAACCCTGGACTTTTCCAGCTGGCCTGTAGCCAACACCAACACTCTGAGTGTAATCCACTCTAGCACTGAAAGACCAACTTGCTTTCACTATTGCTGGTATCTATGCAACCCATATGGAGCCCAAAGAGCAGATCCCCGTGCCCACATGCTCTACCTGGAGACCTAAGGACTGGCCCTCCCAGGGATCGACACTGCCAGTGCCCATGCAAGCCACCCAGGAAACCAAGGATGAGTCCACTTGACCCACTGTCCCCATTGCCGGCACCCACACACCCCACCCAGGACCCAGATATTGCCCTTTCTGAGTCACACCACATCCCCTGCCAGTGCCCCCATGTACCACCTAGGGACCTAAGGACTAGCCTACCTGGTATCCCGCTCCACAGCAAAGCCTTACCACAGCCTCCACAAACACCCACAGCCTAGCCACTAAGTAATTTGCAGACACCACTGACATTAAATACAATCAAAGTAATCATATGAACATTACACTGTGGTGTCCACCCAGAACCAAAGCCAAATCACCCTATCTAGTTAATATACTAATACATTCACAAGAAAACGTATTTTCCTATGGAAGCTACTTCTTAAAATTGGAAGAAGTGACAATTATAGCAGATGCACAGATATCAACCTAAGAACAAAAGAAACATAAAAAAAAAATCAAGGAAACACAACACCTGGAAAACACACACACACACACACACACACACACACACACAGTATTTCTCTACTAATAGGCCCCAAAGAAAATTTAAAAAACACCTGAAAAGAAAATGATCTCAAGAAAACTCAAAGATATAAGAGAATACATACAAACAATACAAACAAATCAGAAAAACTCATAATCTGAATTAGAAATTTAATGAAGACATACAAAGAGGAGCTGGTACCATTCCTTCTGAAACTATTCCAAATAATACAAAAAAGAGACTCCTCCCTAATGCATTTAATGAGACAAAATCATCCTGATACCAAAACCCGGCAGAGACACAACTAAAAAATAACATTTCAGGCCAACATTGACACAAAACTCTTCAATAAAATACTGGCAAACCAAATGCAACAGCATACCAAAAAGCTTATCTATCACAATCAAGTAGGCTTCATCCCAGGGATGCAAGGTTGGTTCAACGTATGCAAATCAATAAACGTAATCCATTCCATAAACAGAACCAAAGACAAAAACCACATGATTATCTCAATAGACGCAGAGAAGGCCTTTGACAAAATTCAACAGCCTTTCATGCTAAAAGGTATTGCTGGAACATATCTCAAAATAATAAAAGCTATTTATAACAAATCCACAGCCAATATCATACTGAATGGGCAAAAACTGGAAGCATTCCCTTTGAAATCTGGCACAGGACAAGGATGCCCTTTCTCACCAACTGTATCAACATAGTATTGGAAGTTCTAGCCAGAGCAATCAGGAAAGAAAAAGTAATAAAGGGTATTCAATTAGGAAAAGAGGAAGTCAAATTGTCTCTATTTGCAGATGACATGATTGTATATTTAGAAGACCACATCATTTCAGTCCAAAATCTCTTTAGGCTGACAAGCAACTTCAGCAAAGTCTCAGGATACAAAATCAATGTGCAGAAATCATAAGCAGTCCTATATACCAATAACAGACAAACAGAGAGCCAAACCAAGAGCAAACTCCCATTCACAATTGCTACAAAGAGAATAAAATACCTAGGAATACAACTAACAAAATATGTAAAGGACCTCTTCAAGGAGAACTACAAACCACTGCTCAATGAAATAAGAGAGGATACAAACAGATGGAAAAACATTCCATGCTCATGGTTAGGAAGAATCAGTATCATGAAAACGGCCATACTGCCCAAAGTAATTTATAGATTCAATGCTATCCCCATCAAGCTACCAACGACCTTCTTCACAGAACTGGAAAAAAACCACCTTAAACTTCACATGGATCCAAAACAGAGCCCACATAGCCAAGACAATCCTAAGCAAAAAGAACAAAGCTAGAGGCATCAGGCTACCTGACTTTGAACTATACAAGCCTACAGTAATCAAAACAGCATGGTACTGCTACCAAAACAGAGATACACACCAATGGAACAGAACAGAGATACACACCAATGGAACAGAACAGAGGACTTGGTGGCAACACCACATATCTACAACCATCTGATCTTTGACAAACCTGACAAAAACAAACAAATGGGGAAAGTATTCCCTGTTTAATAAATGGTATTGGGAAAACTGGCTAGCCATGTGCAGACAGCTGAAACTGAACCCCTTCCTGACACCTTATACAAAAATTAACTCCAGATGGATTAAAGATTTAAACATAAGACATAACACCTTAAAAACCCTCAAAGAAAGCCTAGGCAATACCATTCAGGACATAGGCATAGGCAAAGACTTCATGACTAAAACGCCAAAAGCAATGGCAACAAAAGCCAAAAAAGATAAATCGGATGTAATTAAACTAAAGAGCTTCTACTCAGCAAAAGAAACAATCATTAGAGTGAACCCGCAACAAACAGAATGGGAAAAATATGTTGCAATCTACCCATCTGACAAAGGGCTAATATCCAGAATCTACAAAGAACTTACACAAGTTTACAAGAAAAAAATCACCCCATCAAAAAGTGGGTGAAGGATATCAACAGACACTTTTCAAAAGAAGACGCTTATGTGGCCAACAATCATATGAAAAAATACTCATCATCACTGGTCATTAGAGTAATGCTAAACAAAACCACATTGAGATACTACCTCATGCCAGTTAGAATGGCAATCATTAAAAAATCTGGAGACAACACATTTGAGAGGATGTGGAGAAATAGGAATGCTTTTACACTGTTGGTGGGAGTGTAAACTAGTTCAACCATTGTAGAAGACAGTGTGGTGATTCCTCAAGGACCTAGAAATAGAAATACCATTTGACTCAGCAATGCCATTACTGGGTATATACCCTAAGGATTACTAGTCATTCTATTATAAAGATGCACACACATGTATGTCATTGTGGCACTGTTTACAATAGAGAAGACTTGGAACCAACCTGAATGCCATCAGTGATAGACTGGATAAAGAAAATGTGGCACATATACATCATGGAATACTATGCAGCCATGAAAAAGGATGAGTTCATGTCCTTTGTAGGGACATGGATGAATCTGGAAACCATCATTCTCAGCAAACTGACACAAGAACAGAAAACCAAACACTTCATGTTCTCGCTTGTAAGTTGGTGTTGAACAATGAACACATGGACACAGGGAGGGGAACATCACACATTGGGGTCTTTTGTGGGGTGGGGGGGCTACAGGAGGGATAGGAGGGGGTGGAGAGATTGGGGAAGCATAACATTAGGAGAAACACCTAATGTAGGTGATGGGGGATGGAGGCAGCAAACCACTATGGCATGTGCATACCTATGTAACAATCCTGCAGGATCTGCACATGTACCCCAGAACTTAAAGTATAATTTAAAAAATTTTAATGAAGAGATAGATGTCATAAAAAAGAACCAAGCAGAACTCCTCAAACTGAAGAATTCAATGGCCAAAATAAAAAATAAAATCAGGAGCTTCTGCAATGCACTAGATCAAGCAGAAGAAAGAACTTTTTAACTTGAAGACAGGTATTTTGAAATAACCCAGTGAGACAAAGAAAAAAAAATATCAAAAAGGATGAAGAAGGCCCGAGGGGCATATGGGACACCATCAAGGAAACAAATACTGAAATTTGGGGAGTTCAGAAGGAGAAAAGATGGGGAAAAGGAATAGAAAATTTAACAAAATAATGAATGAAAAATTCCTAAGTCTTAGAAGAGATATAAACATCTAGAAATATGAAGCTTAGGACGATCCCCAAATAGATTCAATCCAAAAATTTTCTTTCTGAGGCATGACATACATAGTTAATCGCTGAAAAGTCAAAGACAAAGAGAAAATTCTAAAAACAGCACAAGAAAACTTGCTGTAAAATTTTGTCAAG